TTCCAGCACCCCCTTCAACTACATCAATCTAATTTAAAAAATAATAATAATAATAATAAATACGAACGTATGTGTCATAAAAATATTCAACCAAACGACGAATGTTCATTCAGGATCATGTTGGATGTTCAAAAAAAAAAAAAGGAAAGAAGCAAATATGATCGAAGAAGGACTTTTAGATAGATTCGAATAAACGATAGCAAGAAGAAGAAGAAGAAGAAGAAGAAGTAGAGGATGGCAAAAGAAAGAAATAAGAAAAAATAAAAAAAACATGATCGATCTCTTATTCGAAGGAGAAAGAAAAAGATCTCTCGAAGATAGTACGATTAGAAGAGGTAGAATAGGTAAGAGGGGGGAGGGGGGGGGGAAATAGAAAAAGGAAGAAAATAAACCGGAATATTTTTTTTCTATTTTTTTGTAAAAAGAAAAAAAGGTTGCAAGAAGGATCCTATATCTAACAATGCAAAATACGGAAGCTGGTAGTACGTGCTCTTATTTGTAATACGTTTGTATACGTATATGTGTATACAATATATTAGTTGTATTGGTAAGTATCGCTTTCTAAGTTTCGGGATAATCCGCTTAGGCTAGTATACGGTCTCTGTCAACGCGTCTTCATCGTGTTTGAACGTATTGTTAACGTGTTTTGTGAGAAAACAGCATTTTTGTCGCTCGAGGTGACAACAAGAAGAGGACTTAACTTATCTCTCCGTCATAACAGATACCAAACTAAGAAAGAAAGAAAAAAAATAGAGAGAGAGAGAGAGAGAGAGGGAGGAATAGTAGCCGGTTCCTTTTACACGTGGGAGGATTTCACGATCATCCTAATCTTTTTCTAAGGTCTTCTAAATACACCTGATTTTATTTTCCCGTTCGGTTAGACGAAATATTTTCTAAACTTTTCTACTTTATTTTTTTTTTTTTTTTGGATTATACAGTACAGAGATATATTCCGAATAATTTTGTTTTTTTTATATATATATATAGCGTGATATATTAATTTGTTAAAATTATATAAAAGGAAGAATTTTTGACGATTTTATTTATAAATTATGTTAGAATCTCTTAAAAAGTTACGTTATAAATGCAACTCTGATATATATATATATATATATTATTGTTCGATTAAATCTAAAAAAATAAAAATGATTGAATTTTTTTATCTAAATTAATATATATATTTTCTTGCAGGGGTAATATCAAAATTTCATGATCGAATCATAAAATCTAAGGATCATAATCGTGAGACACCATCAACGATACGTCAAGTACAAACAAAATTAAACATTTTATTATTATTATTAAATGAAACATGATTTTTAAAAGAAAGAATTTCTTGATGAATATTATTAATAATTAATTATATTATACTTAAATTTTTGTTTGTTAACAGTTCCGAATTACCTGTATATATTTTTGTTTCCATTTAGATGGTTCGATGACGATGTCAATGAAGATTATGATGATGATATCATGGTTGTCCCATTTTACAGGAAGAGAGAGAAAGAGAGAAAGAAAGAAAGATAAAAAGGACGGAAGGGTTAGAATACAACCACCCTGAAAAAGACCCATATAATCTCTCATGAATACATAATCCAGATGCAAACAGCCGCCACGCGCAACCTCGTTTTAAACGGTCACGATATTTCACGGATTATAAGTATGCAACACGAATGAAGAATATTTGCACTTTATACGGTTATGCATGTATTTATATATATGACATTGGTAAAAAGGGAGGAAGGAATCGATATTTTTTGTGTAACTCTATTTAGAAAGTCCAAAGCTTTTTCGAGAAGAGACACCATCATCAATCTTGAGTATTTAAAATTCGAAAGAATACAAAGTAGTAATAATATTTCAAATCAGATTTATAAAAGAAAATTGTATAAAAATGTGAATAAATACAAAATGAAAAATAATATTTTTAGATTCGATAAATTGTGATACACGCAAGTGAACAATGATTTATTACTTTGGAAGATCGTAAATCGTGAATATACAAAATAGAAATATTTCTAAAATCCGATATAAAAGAAGAAGAAGAAGAAAAAACTTCTACGCTGATTTTTATACTTTGAAAAAAATCATAAATATTGTGAGTATCGAAAAATTAGAACACAAATACAACGATGACGAAATAATATTTTGAAGAACGAGTAAACAAAATGTTTGTATTTAAATTAAACGTAATCTACGTTTGACGAATTTGCATTGCGAAAGAGAAAAAAGGATATAATCGTTGATGCAAATAAAGATAAAAATCTGATCCTTCAAGACCACCTATCTTTTTTTTTTATACCGTGCAAAGTAAACTACGATATCGGTACTAGTGCGATATAAAAAAGAAAAAAAAAAGAAAAGTAGGCGTTGATCGATGAGTATACAGATCGGATCTTATTCTCTGTCAGGATAGAAAAGAACAACAAAAAAATTCTATCGTTCATTTTGAAACGTCCAGAGTGGATAGAAGTAACAGGAGGAGGATGATTCATGTAACTTGTACACCCTTTTTCTTTTCTTTTTTTTCTTTCTTCCAAAGTCAGGATCAACGATACATAAAAAAAATACCTCGACAATATTTCTATTTTAAAATAATATTTAACATTAAAAATGCATAATTTCAAGATCAATTCAAGATGTACAAGTTGAATAAATTGTCCTGTATTTAAATACTATATTATAGGAAAAAAAAAAAAAAAACGGGAATGTTACTTGATAATAAATATTTTTTTTACAATAGATAGGAGTTCGAGGAGAAAAAAAAATTAATTTAGATAAATTTCTCTTTGTAAAGAAAAATTATTATTCTTTAATTTTTTTTTTTTTCTTTTTCTTTTTTTTTTTCTTTGCCGTAATCACACGAGAAGAAGGATTCACATTTTCCATGAAAACATTTCTCTCTTAAACACAGCAATTATTTCATTCGTTAGTAACGAGCGGGGTGTGTAGACGGGGGGGGGGGGCACAGCAAGGGGCCTAACGAGGGGGAAAGAGAAAAAATAAACAAAATAAAATGATAATTAAGAATTAAGATAATAATTTCGATGAAGATAATCGATAGATATTATTGCACGATTAAAATCATGCACGCGAGCGTTTAGAAATAATTGTATTTTCATATGTTTGTTGTTGTGTGTGTTCATTTTCTTTTTCAATCTTTTCGCAAAATGCATACATGCGGCAGCAGAGACACATCATACACACGCACACACGTATATATCCTTTAAATATACGAGACGATACACCACCCACACACACACACACACATTTGTTCTTTCTAATCATTCTTTATTTTATTTTATTTTTACTTTTATTTTTATTTTCGTTTATTATTATACTCTGTCATTTCTTTTTCACTTTTATATTCTTCGGACTTATAAAAATATATATAGGTATTGGACGGAAGCCGTGACATGATTCTTTAGGCTATTTCTTTTTTTTTTTATGTATGTGTGTAAAGATATTACTATATATATATATATATATATTTATATAAAAAAACAAAAATAAGATAAAATAAAATAAATGATTTTGGTTATTTTTTTTATTTATTCATTTGAGCGAGGGTTTTCCTTTCTTTTTTTTTTCTTTTTATCCTGAAGAGTTTTTGTTTGTTCTATCCTCTCGTCGTCGAAGAGATCATCCGCAAAAATAATTAGAAATAAATTCTCGTGTGAATAACTTTGCCGAAAACAAAAAAAAAATAATAAAATATACATAAAAGAATTCTCTTTTTTTTATTGATTTTTTTGTTTTTTTTTTGTTTTCTTTTTTAATCAAAGAAAAAGAATATATTTATATGTATATGTATATATACGGGTCTACGCGTTGATATTGCACAATAATAATTATTTACACGATGCACAAAACGATTTTTCACATCTCGTTTTTTGTATAACTGTTTTCTTTTCCTCTTCTTCTTCTTCTTCATTTTTTTTCTTAGGAAGATTGTTTTTTTTTTTCATTTTTTTTTTTCTTTTATATACAAAAGAGGAGACAGAATTTTATTCATCATCGTTAAGATTAATAATATCGGAGAAATTGTTTCTCCCTTTCCTTTTCTTTTCTTTGTGTTAGAGTTCCATTATTTTTTTTTATCGTTTATATAAATATAAGATTATACATTGTTAGCATAATTATAAAGGTTTTTTTTTTGTTTTTATTTTTTGTTGTTTCTTCATTTAGATATACCCTATAGTTAGAACCCTTTATTAGTAAACGAGCTTAAATGGCTCTTGCAAAAATACAATTACTTTTTGTTTGTTTTGTTTTTATTTATTAAACTAGCTAACAAAAAAGAATAAAAATGTTGTTACTCATTGTTTTAATATTCGTTTACTTTTTTTGCCCGATGTCTTTTTCTTTTCTTTTCTCTTTCATTTTCTTTTGTTAATCATTTATTAATCATATAGTTAAATCTCCCAATCGAAGTTCATTAACGCAGTATATAATCATATTTCTATTTTTTAATAAATGAATGAATGAATAAATGAATTAGTTAGTTAATTAAACAACTTACTGCACGTACCCTCCTCCGTTTTATTCTTTTTTTTTTTTTTTTTTCTCTTTCTTTTACTATTTTCATTCAGTCAAATACTGGCAAGAAACCGATGACACGAAAAATTGTGTCAAGAAGAAAAGAGTTTGTTGTGTAAAACTATTATTAAATTATATATATTTTTTTTCTTCTTTTTATTTTGTCGCACTGGACGCTCTCTTCGATGATTGATTGATTTATTTATTTATTTATTTCTCTCTCTCTCTCTCTCTCTCTCTCTCTCTTTTCTTACTTTTTTTTCTCTAATAAAAACATTTTTTCAAATACGCAAATATATAAGCAGAATTATTCGATTATTTGTTGTCTTTTTTTTTTTCTTATGTTCTCATTTCTTCCCTTCTTACTCTCACATTATTCTTTTTTGTGTTAATCGATTATTACAAATACTATTTACGCGTATCGTTGATATTGATCGTTAATAATAATAATAATAATAATAATAATAATAATAATAATAATAATAATAACATTAATAATAATAATAATAATAATAATAATAATAATTACACGATCAATATTATAATTCAGTCAAATTTAGTTTTAACAGTTATTAAACTTCCATCCTATCATTAATTCTTCTTCAATACTGTTACTTCGTTTTTTTTTCTCTTTTTTGTTCACACCACTAACACAGGAAGAAATATTATATCAAGTGGACCGAAAAATCCAAGTGCCTTGTTTTTTCTTTTTCTTTTTTTTTTGTTTTGGAAATACCTCAGCGAAAAAGATGTTATTACACTGAAGCAACAATAACAACAAGAACAACAGGCACTTTCTTCTTCTTCTTCTTCTTCTTCTTCAAAAGAAGATGATTGTCTTTCTTATTAATTGGCCCTTTAAACAGCCCACCTCTAAATGCGAATCGACGATGATTATTATAATGATGATTATGACGATGATGATGATGATGATGATAATAATAATAATGATAATGTGTTAGTTCAATAATAGAAGTTCATATACGTCTTAGACGCTGTCGTTTTCGTCACTCTAGGCTCCTGATTAGGACACTTAATTCACGAAAGGTTGCACCTAGTTTACCTGGTGCTGATTGCTTTTTCAAAAGTATACCACGTATCGTTGATAATTTCTGGTAACAAGACAGGCACTTATTATATCTGTAAAAATGAAATGTAATGTGTTAAAAATGTATATTAGTAGGATTAACAATAATAAAACACAAATAATTGAATATTAAATATTATTTGATTTTACTATTTCAATTTATATAATAATATGAAATATATAATTGTAATATACAATAAATGATAAATTATACTAACCGTTCTTCTCGTGAAACATCAACGCCTATGGTGTGAAGAGGTGCTTCCACATTGGATTTAATAACCGAAGCAAAATTACGTAAAATAAGTCTCAATGCCGATAAACCTGCGGTTATGTACCTGTAAATAAATAAAAATGATTTTTATTACTTATTCTTTCACATAATAAATTAATAGAAACGTAAATCACAAAATAATGATACACTTTTTGTATAATAATAATGTTAAAGAAGAACAAAACTGTAAATGTGGGAGTTAATGTGAACTATAAGGAAGAAAGAAAAAAAAATCGTGTTACGGGTAACTAAGGTGTTACAAAAAAATAAATTATTGGACCATAACGATCCCAATAAATAACGAAAGCTAGCAAAGACTCGCCCGAACGATTCGATGCGCTTCCTGTTGGTCGATGATAAAGGGTTCAACCGAAACTCCCGTTTTGAATCACCGAAACGAATCATAAGCGAGCCCATAAATGCAGGACACGCATCGAAACGATTTTATTTCTAACGCTCGTTTTTTTTCACGGATTTCAAAGGATATCACGAACGCTATTATTCAATACATTTTATATATACTTAAACATTATTTTATCATAATTTATTTATAACATATTTGAATTTATATTTTTATTACATTATTTCATTTATCAATTATTTCTTTTTCTATTTCTTTTGAATGCATTTTATACAATAATTATGTTTTAATATAAATATATGTTTTTATTTTTATTTTACTTAAAAAAAAGAATCTATATAACAAACGACTAAGTTAAAAGAACATTGAATGAGAAACAGGGAAACTATGGGGATGACAAATTTCACCCCTATGACACGCCTAGCTATACAAGTTTAGATTTTCATCGTACTATTTTTTTCTCACGGGATCTAACCAAAGGCAGATCTATCAAACAACCGTATCGAACGAACCGTAAAAATTTACAAGTATTTACATACAAATTGTGATATCTGATATTATCAAAATATATACATATACTCTATCTCTTACTCTTTTTTATTTAATATTAACCACACTAAAATTTTCATGAAATAAAATTAATTAAAATAAATAAACAAAAATAATAAAATTGTTACGTGTGTTCTCATCTTAAAAAAAAAAAAGAAATTAAATCCTTTTAAGGATTGAAAAAAAAAGGATTGTGAATATTCAAAAGGATACGTGATAGTTATTGTAGTTTATCAAAAGAATAAGAACACGTTGATTGACAAAGATTGACAAAGTAAAATCTATCAACATATGCACGCACGCTTACCACTTCAAATTTCAATCGAAACTTACAAAGGGGGATATTCGCGATGAGAATTGTAACAGGAATTTGCATCTGTCAGTATCTCTCATTGTCTTGGCTAATTTTGCGTACCCTCCTATTCTTACTGCACGTTTCGATCGTATTTCCCTACCCCACTCTAAATTAGCCATTCCTATAGAAAACTATGACAGTACACCTAAGTTCCATTCGTTCTAACATAATACCCGAAGTACAGACCCTTGTGACATGCGCGTATTATTTAGGTTTTAAGTTTTGGTGCATGAATTCAATTTACAAAAGAATTCGAACAGTTATGACCTCATAAAAAAAAGAAAAATTATTTTATAACAAAAATAAACAATTTATAATAATACTTACATCTCGTATTTACTTTGAACGAGTTCAGCGATAGGCCCAAGAAGTAAATTGCACAAATCCAAATTCCAGATGGTTCTGCAAATAAAAGTAAATCACATAAATAAAAAAGGAGAAAAAAAAACCTTTAATAAAAGTCATTATTTATTTATACAAAATAATAATAATGCTTACGGTTTTAACGTTAATATACCCAGAAGATCAACGATAATCGCAAGATCGTTCATTGCAACTGCTGAATCTATCGCTGACTGAAATTAAAAAATAATTTTATTTTTAATTTCTTTCTATATCACATCTATTTTCCAATGATTATTTTGTAATATATAAGATTAACAAAAAAATACCTTAAGATCTTTATTATGCCAAAGGGAATAGACGATTTGCAGAGAACGGTGTCTACTGGTGAGTACAGTCATCATTGGTTCATGTCCTCGCATCATACTATTTAATACTTCTGCTTCCGACATTTCTGCTAATACTCCCATTTGCGAATACGCTAGTCCCGGAGATCCTGCGTAACTACTTTTCTGCAAATAATTGTAGTTTTTGATTACATTTTAATAATTTAAATAAACCAAACTCATTTACAATCAGATCAGTGATCAGTAAAAAAGAAATATATATGATACTTACTGGTAAAAATGTTTCAACATCTAAACCATAAGGTTTATCAGCACTTATTGGAACTAATTCTTCCTTTTCAATATCTTCAACTTGTGATCTTAATTGTGTAACTGAATCTACTTTAGGCGTTGGAAGTACTTGTAATTTGTTGTTCTTTTTTAATGTTGACGTTCCCGTTGTCGTTGTGTTTCGGGCCGATAGTGTAGCAGAATTAGCAAAATTTCTATTTAAAGACGTTGACCTTGATTGCGCTGTGTTTGGTCTATTTAGTGCAGGATCGGAGGGACTATGTCTTATATTATTAATTCTGTAACAAATAATATCATATAAATTATGAATATATATTTTTGTATTTTATTTCAAAGAGATATATTAAAAAATGTATACTCACTGTACAGGATAATCACTTTCATAGCCTTGCTCACTTTCTCTACAACTATTTTGGCGCTTTAAATAATGCTTAGGCGAATCTGGACTGGGCACTCTATTTTTTAATTTTCCATCATCCATAACAGGTATTACAGCCGCCATTGGTGCAACTCTCGGTGTTAAAGTCGAGTTAGATCTTTGTGGACCCAAAGGCTGTGATGGTATTGTTTCATTAACTTGTGCAGCTCTTTTTCCAGGAAAAGGTGTAATATTTTGTTTAAGCGGCGGTATAGAAGCTAAATTTTTGGATGATCTGTTCAGCATATTGTTTGCTTGTAAATTAGCACGAATTTGACTGGTCGTAGTTATAACATTCCTTTGCGTTGGCGGCGATGATCTTATCGGTTGAACACGTACTGGCACTGGTTTGGTTAGTGACAATGTTGTTACCGTTGGAGATGGTGACAATGATGATGGCATAGATGACATTTCACTTGATTCTACTGTACTTATATTTGATATTGATGTACATAGATTTTGTAGTACCTGTGGTTGTGAAGGATCTGAAATAGACATTTAATTTACAATTAATATTACGATATCAACTTGTGTAACATTAATTATTGTTTTATTATATTTGTGTAATAGTGTGTTTATTTGTAAATAGAAAATTAATAAAAATGTTAATCAATTTTCAGTTAAAATAACAAAGACAAGTGGGAAGTTTTATTTTTTTTACAAACTCACCTACATCTTGAGGCTCTTGGAAAGCCTCAGGTTCTGGTGGAGGTGTGCGAGACACTGAAACATACCATGCAGAGCATGCCCATTCACAAACGACATTCCACATTGTCTAAGTTATATATATGAAAAATGATACCAATAAGAATACCATTATAAGTGATTAAAGATAAACTGATAGTAGAAAACTACTAGATCGAATAGTATATTGAATTAGGAAGAGAATATGTTATATATAAAAAATGTATTTACGAGCTCTGTTAGGCTGAAATATGTCCCGATAATCAGAAACATTAGGTATATCTGCATATGTCGCTTCATCTTCTGGATCCGTGCCTGACTTATCTGCTTCTTCTATTGTTCGTACATCTAGTCTATAAATTTATGATACTCTTAGTCAAATATATATTTTTTTGATATACAGGGTGTCTAAGATTTTCCCAATTAAACAATGTCAACATATTCAAAACACTGTTTAGTCGGAATAACTTTAAACACCCTATAGAATGCAAGTACTATTACATTGTACTTACGTATGTTTCTTCAATTCCGGTGGCCGTTCTCTAGAAAAACTTTTCCTCAATGAATTTCCATGATTAAATGGAGATAATGATACTCCTCCTAATGGTGCTATTTTTTTTAAATCACAGACATAAAGAATAACATTTGTATTATGGCAACTTGCACCGATCTAAAATAAATAATTTTACTGTTATTACATATATTTATCTTATTATAAAAATGATATAATTTATTAATATTTTGTTACCAATTGATTTTGAGCTACAGCTATGTCCTGTACTTTGCCCCAGCCGGTTGGAACCGTATCTAATGTTCTACCCGGCTCCCAACCATAGACTTTTAAAACGTCGTGACTACCGGCAAAAAGACATTCTCCTCCTTGACTGAAGTATAGGCACCTAAAAAAATATATTCACAGTTAAATATAAATGTGATTAACAATGATAAAAATAAATCTTATTTACCTTATTCCTGATGAATGATTTTGTTCTGTGGAAGATACAAGCAGAAACGATTCCAAATCCCAAAAGTGAACTGTTCTGTCGGCGCTTCCGCTTGCTAACAAAAATTCATGTGGATGAAATTCGACGGTTAATGCTGGTCCCCTGTGTTCTGAAAATTCTCTTAGTTGTCTTCCTGCTCTTAAATCCCATAACTACTAGAAAATACAATTCAATGATATATCATGTCTATAGGAAAATAATATAAAGATTTAAAGAAATATCATTACAATTCACCTTGACCATGCCTTCTTCTCCTGCACTGGCGATCCATTGCCCATCAGGACTAAACTTTAAACTATTAACTGTTAGATTATGTCCCTTATAGGTAAAAATACAACCCTTCCTTCGTATATCCCACAATTTGATCGCAGTATCCAAACTACCAGATGCTAATAATTCCCCGTAAGGATGGAAGTTCATACATTTGATTCCTGCTTTGTGTCCCGTCAAAGTACGAGCTAATTTAGCATGTTCCAAGTCCCAAATTTTTAATGCCCCTGTCTGAGAACCGGCACATACTAAATCCTCTGTTTGGCCAAATCTTACACATTCTATAGATGTTGTATGACCGCTCAGGCTCTACATATATAAAAACAAAAAAAGATATGTTTATTTTATAACATAAAACATAAAGAAAAGAAATAATTAGAAATGAATAATAATAATATTTTTAATAAATACCATAATACAATTAGGTTTTCCAACTGCCCATAAGTTGACTTTTTTGTCATCACCACCAGTGACCAAAACACGACCAGATTTATGTCCCAATGCCAAACAATTAACATTTGATGCATGGGCAACAAAATCCTCTGCGAAGTAGAGAAACACGTATTAACAATTAGAAAAGTAATTCCTTATATATAAGATTTTATGACATGTGTGTAACACATGTGTCAGACGAATACAAAAAAGGATCTGACTATAATTATAGAATGCTGTATATAGAATATGTATGAGTACACTTCAAGCATACTATTCTCTGATAAACATTAATTGTTTACTTCAAATCAAATCGCCAATTAAAAGTTGTCTAACGATAATCCTTCCTTTTAAATATATATAATGATATATTTAAAAAAAAATAGTATAAAAAATAAGTGCAAAATAATAATAAGCACTCACGTAATTTCCAAGATCTCTTCGTTGACGAAGCCATATTCCGGGACCAAGAAGATTGCGTTGTACAAGACTTATTTGGGAGGAACAACAGTCTGAGATTGAAGATCGTAGTGGTAGGATAAGTTTTTGCACGAATTTAAATGTAACATTTTTACTCTCGTTCGAAGATATTATTCCTTTTAAACATGAAACTAAACTTCCCGTCAACTTGACGACATGATTCGAAACTTTTAATCCAGCCCGGCTTCCGATATTATTATTATTTCCATTAATTTTCAACTGACTTTTTTTTTATGAAACTTCTTCGTTTCACCTTTATTAGTCGTCGTATCTCATTTCTTGAATCTCTGACTGTGTGTCCGTGAGTAGCGATGCGAAGTGACGTTGAAAAATATCGAATTATTTTGCTATCGAAGTTGCGCTTCCATTCGAGTTTTTTTTTAGGTTAGAATACAATTTTTCTTCCATGTGATTAAAAACGAGCACGAATTATATCCATTAAAAATAATAATTATAATAAATAAACGTAATTGAAAGAGATAAGCTTAAGATTATAATAACGTGATTGATTAAAAATAATCGTTGTAATTATCGTACAAGTTAACCTCTTTCGTGGTAATCGATATCGAGATAAAATATCGATTGTTGGAGGACCTACAGCAGACTGACATTACATACACATAATTAATACGTATATGTGAAGTGAATATAACATTGTATGTGTTATGTATACCATGCGCCATTCAAAGGATTGCGCAAAACTCTTACTTACACTATGATATTAGAATTAATAAACAATGAGATTCTAATTACTTCGCGTCAATAGCTTTAGGTTTGTATTAATATTTACATAAGGAATCTATATAAAATTTTTTCTAATTTGAATAATTATTCATTTATTATTATAGGCGACCATAATACAAAGTCAAGGCAAAGAGGTGTGATCATTAATTGTAATCACAAACATGTTTACTTTATCCAATATATGTTTTAATCAAATAATTACGAATGCAAGAAAATGTTTTATCTATAATAAATATAAACGAGGTTGCAAAACTTATGTGCAAGGTCAATCACCGGAACGACGTATAAGGGAATATTTTTATTATATAGATCATCAAGGCATGGTAAAGTGTATTCATTTTTTGTTTTCTTATTTCATCTTATTATTATCGCGAATCATTTTTATAATTACTTTATTACTTACAGCTGTTTTTGGATGATGTACGTATTAAAAATTTTACATCCTGTTTCAAAGGTATGTGTCAATGCATAGACTGGCAGCTATGCAAACTAATTACAAAATTTACTCTACGAGTCAAATGTCATTCTATTTACAGATGGAAAACGTAAAATATTATTTCAGACAAAAAGTTTTTGGAATTTTTCTTCAAACGACTCAAAATAAATAATACTGGACGGTACACGCAAGAATTCCCATACATCTCCCTTTGCGGTTTAGAAAGGAACTTTGTTAAGTGCGATGATCTTCCCATAGTATTCACGAAAATCATTGAAAAAACAAATGTAGAAGTCGGTGAAAAGGAGGATTGGTTCGGTTATTCGTATGCCGAAAAATTACTTCAGGTAAATGATAAAGAACAAATTTATATGAATTCAAACTTAAATATAGAAATTATACAATTAATTTTTTTACAGGTACCATTCGAACCACAAAAATTATTAATGGACCCTAACTCAGGTAGAGTGTATCATCCTGCGCCTGAAAAAGTAGGAGGTATTGGCCTAGTAAGATCTCAAATTGCTATTGAGCTGAGTATTCATTTTTGTTTTGACAATGGGGAAGATCAAGGTCCAACTCATTTTCAATGGAAAGATAAAAAATATTCGATCGATAATGAATGGTATAAAAACAGTATAAAATATAAAGATAAATAGATAAGGATTATTATTCTCCTAATATGTATATTTCTATGTTTGTAATTGTATTTAAGAACATAACAAATTTTTTAAATACCTAGATATCAGATTACATTAAAATAAATTTGAGATATCAAATATTCTCGCAGTGAAATCATCAGATGTTGTTAATACGATTTGTCCCTCTCTAAAAGTATTTGTAGATTGAATTGTTTGATTATTTTACTTATTATTAAATATAATTATCATTATTATTACTTACTCGGATATGTGTAAATCAAGAATATCTTTGGAATGTCCTGTAAATAGGTGTAAACATAATCCATTTCTCGCGTCAAAGCATCTGAGAATACCATCGAGTCCACCAGAAAATAGCAATGACGATGTACCTTTCCATAAGATTTTACTTATACCACTTTCTTGTTCTATTTTGTGCCGAAGTATCTAGACATTTTTTAAAGACATTTAAATATTTTACATAAAATTAACAAAGTATTATCATATTTTATTTTTAAGCACTTCACAGTCAAAGGGTTAAAATAAAGCATATGATTCACCTGTTTTGGTATATCCCAAATAAAAATTTCTCCATTTAAACTACCTGTTGCAGCTACTTGAAATGTGGGATCTTTACAGAAAGCTATCGTCTCTACCCAATTTCTATCAGAATCTTCCATATCATTTTCTTGTTCGCTATTAAGATCTTGTAATATAGATATTATCTGTAAACATTTATAGACATTTATCTTATTAATAAAAAATTTGTTATATAATAATTACAGTGTAATAATAAATTACAATTGACGAATATAAACTGTTCAAAAATAATGTTTGCTAACCAATCATTCATTCCAAAATTAAATAATTGTTTTTCTTCAATTACCTTTCCTGTATGCGACATACTAAGAATAGTTTTTCCATCTACTGCTGTGGATAATATTAAATTATTATCCATATAACAATCAAGCGCTGTTATGGCTGAATTATGGCCTACATTAGAAGGAACTGTTGATATCATGTTATTTGATTTTAAATCGAATACACGAATTGTACCATCTTCATATCCAACTGCAAGTCGTTTACCTGTTGATACATAAGTATGTAACTATGTGTATTTATAAATACAAAGTGTTAGTTACATACCATCAGGTAAAATTACACCTGCTTCTGCTCTGTTTCCAAAACCTTGTAAAACTTTGCAATCCCCATCAGGTATTTTCCACATGAAAATTTCACCATTTACGGAGCCTGCGATTAAAACGTTAGCTGCCATATGCCACTTCATCCACTGAAAAAATAAAACAAAATATTAATAATAATAATAATAATAATAATAAAGTAAATCTTTTTACAAATAAAAGTATGACATTAAAGTAATATTTACAGTAACATCTCCCATATTGTAATTCCAAATCAAAGATTTGTCGCTTAATTTCCACAATTGTATGATGCCACTCATATCACCGGTAGCCAAATAGGTTTCATCGAAATTGAATTCAGCGAATATAATGCTATCTTTATGATCAGTGCAATTTAAAATAATTTCTCCAGTCGTTGTGTCCCAAACATAGGCCTTATCCTCTTCACTTCCAGTAACTGCTATCTTTCCAGCCTTACTTAAAAAACCGCAAAAGACAGATCCTAATGTTACAAAAATGAATTTATAAATCTGTTAAGTTAGAAGTCCAAACAATTACAAAACTGTAATGTATACAAACCAGATTTGTGTCCGGTGAATACTAAAGTTGCATCCTCTTTTTCTGAATCTATTTTCATCACTTCTTCGTTGTTGAGCGAATCAGGATCTATAACTTCAATAACATCTTCGTTGTAAATAAGTTCCTCTTCGTCCATTTGATTGATCATATCAGGAGACGGTGATTCTGTGCCTCGTATCATTGTGTTTTAAAAATATTCTTATGCGTTTAACAAATCACAACACACACTTTCAAAAGAAAGTTTTTTCTTTTACTGGCAGTGAAATCTGTATTTGAAGAAAAACAACAAAATGACTATTTAACACTGCTAATAAATTTAATCTAATGTAACAAAGATAACCATTAAACTCAACTACATCAACTAATCATGCTTGATTTTAAAAAATCCAGGTTAATAACTCAATATTCTATACCTATATATAATATAAGAAATACAAATGCAAATTGAAATTCACATCAGGTTGATATCCTAAGTTTTTTCTTGTGTTACTACCTGGTGTATATATATATATAAATTATATATATGCGATCTACAGGTCGTATTAAGCATCATCAGAGGTGGGGGATGGCGTGAGAAAAAAAACTAGGGTAGCGATGTCAGTGCCATCTGATAGCAGAACTTAGAACTCGTTCATCACTAACAAGAAATCTATTTATATCTATCGATAAGTTAGATTATCTCGAGTCGAAAATTAATTAAAACCAAAATTTAAAAAAGTTAATCTCTTTTTGCTGATTCGACATGCATAATTGATCATGTAAAAGTAAACATTATAAAGATAATTAATATGTTTGAATTAATTGCATCTGTGAGAAAAAATGTAAATTACATATGATTTAAACAAAAATTAATTAGATCATTTGTGATCATTGTATTTTCTTTTATAACTATTTTCCCTTAAGATAATTTATTCCTAGTAGATTATCAATGAATAGAACTAACAAAAGTAAAATGCGCCAATTGTTAAAACATGTTTCATCATCCTTCCGGCTTTCCTCTCTTACTTCAATCTTTTATTTCTCCTCTTTCCCCCTCATTTGGCGAATACCATTTTTCTCTTCGTCATTCTCTCTCTTTCTAAAGAAGCGTAGAAGCACACTATGGTTGAACTGCTCCACAGTCTTGGTTCGTCCTCCGTGCCGCGTTTATATAGTAGTTAAATGTTGTTAATATTTCTTTACAAATATACACGTGTACATATATATGCACATAACAAATAATTATTCGAAATATAAATAAAATAAAATATTTTCTAAGTGATAGTTATAATTCATTATATTTATTTATTTAAATCGTGAATTATCTTATTCTATAATTGGTGATAAAATCTTGATCGATAAGGTAGGTTTCTTCCATAACACACAGATACATAAATTAAAAAACCGGGATATGTAAATATTTGTATACTTGCGCATGTATAATTTTTACAATAGATTGTTGTCATTTCAATTGAAGATTACGAAATTGAATTAAAAAGAAAACAAAATAAATTTACAAATAAGAAAAAGAGGTTTACGTGATGAAGGAAAAGATTAAAAGAAAGAAGAAACTTAAGAAAGTAAAAAAAATGAATTAGGTAAGAGCTCATTGATAAAAATACATACAGTAAGAATAAGAAGAGGAGGAAGAAGAAGAAGAGTTTGAAGGCCGTCAGTTTATATTAAAAATATCATTAAATAATCAAGAGCGCGTGTGGCATTTTAGAACTTGGAAAGTTTTCGAATACCGGTACAAGTGATCGACGGAAAACGATCGATGGAAACGAGCGCAGAAAGCGCCTTTCACAAATTTTATTATACACGAAATTTCAAATTATCGTGGATAAAGAAAAAAAAAGAAGAAGAAGAGGAAGAGGAAGAAGAAGAAGAAGAAGAAGAAGAGGAAGAGGAAGAAGAAGGGAACCAAATTCAAAATTTGTTAATTAACATGAATCTTCGAACCCCATCATTTACGATGTTTTATCGTTAAGTTGAAATTATGGGAAAAATAATAGCAAAGTACAAGAAGAGTTTGAACAAAAAGAAAGAAAAAACTATAATTATTTATTATAGTCTCGTCTTAATATAAAAAAAATATTCCAAACTTTGTTGCCCCATTTCAAGATGGCGACAAAAAGGAACAGTGATTCAAATTTAAATGCAGTTTATACCCGAATGATTTAGTTCAATGAACAAATCCTGAACTATAGGATAAAGTAAAATTAAATCGAAGGAATAGATAAAAAAATATTATTAATATATTTTTATATATATATATATATATATATGATATAGTTTGGAATTTGATAAGAATTCGAATTAACGACAGCTAATAAGAAGATAACTAACAGAGAGATTTATTTTTCAAATCTTGATCGGTTATCATCGTAAGATGACAGAAAGTTTTATTAGATTTAGATTGATATATTTGATAAATATTTATTATTAACGATGGATACCAACGACAACGGCGTTTGGATTTTTGGATATGGTTCTCTTTGCTGGAATCCTGGTTTTGAATATTGTAAAAGTACAACTGGTTTTGTCAAAGGATATACCAGAAGATTTTGGCAAGGAAATACTACGCATCGTGGTACAACAGAAAAGGTAAATTTTTTGGCATCTTCCTTTACTACGTAAATATTTCATTATTCTTATTATACTACTACTATTATTATTGTTATTATTATTATTAGTTTTATATTTATAAATGTTAAAGATCGTATGCAAACATTTTGCTGTACACAATTTCTTTACAATAATAATAACAATTTTTATATTCGAATGTTTTCGATATTTGCACGAAAAAAATAATGAAATCAAATTTAAAATTCCAAATACTTCAATTATGTTTATTTAGTTAATGATAAGCGTGTTCTCTCTTATCTATATATTTTACGAAAACGAAAATCAAATACAAAAAAAATAACAAGGATAAAATATATTTCTCGCGCGAGATACGACTTCTGTTCTTTTTGTTCTTTTTTTTTTTTTGTTCTCTTTTGAATACGTCAATTCAACGAAACAGATTATTTTTTTTCTTTCTTTTTATAACGTTGATACGATTATTAAATGATTGATATGATAACTGGATGATTCGTCAACGTTTTAATCAAATTTTGCTCACAATCTAACGTTATGTCACGCGAGGTCTCTTTTTGAAAAGATAAGATTAATTTTTGAAGTCTAGACTCTTGTGTGGATTAATTTTTGCTAAATAAATTTTTTCTTTTTTTTTTTTTTTCTTCCTCTTCTCCTTTTCATTCCCCTTTCAAAATAAAAATCTTGATAGTTAAAGTTTCATTAGCATTCAATCGAATAGTCGCGTGATTTTTTACGTGAATGGAATCTTAAACGTTTGTTTACTTACACAAATCCTAATAATTATAATAATAATAATAATAAAAATGCTAATTATTACGTGAATGGAAAGACGAATGCAAATTAGCATGATCGGCAATGATGGTGATTCATTATGATTTTGAATTTTGATTTTTCGTCAAATCAAAATAAGGAGAAAGTTGTTGTATTATATTTTATAATAAAATATAATAAAACTACCTCTCGTTCATACTAAGCCCAACCAGTTAGAAACCGGTATAAACTGATATCTTTTTATACATGTATGTGAATTACGTGTTATATTGCTATAAAATAATATATGTTTGTGTTTGCAGCTGAACGATATAAAATACTGCTATGCTATCTTTAACATTTTTATATATGTGTGATATGATATATATATCATACATATATATATATATATATAATAAGTACACCAATTTTTCAATGTAACTTTAAATGTCCGATAAATAAATGTTCCTGCGTCATTTTATTTCTAAGAACAACTTATATAAACAAAGAAGTGATTTAATTTTTTCTTAAAATTTGTTAAAAAACATATCTGTACTTTTTATTTTTCCAGCCTGGTCGAGTTGCTACTTTGGTAGAACAAAAAGAGGTAAATAATATCTTTACAAATATTTCACTTCGATGTGATGTTAATAATAATAATAAAAAAGAAAAAAAAAGAAAAAATGTTATTTTTAATTGTAATTATATGAAATGAATGATTTTTTAGGGTATTGTTTATGGTAGAGTTTTTCAAGTATCAGACAGTACTGCATTACCGTATTTACAAAAAAGAGAATGTTCTTTGGGCGGATATTTGACTATTATTTCGACGTTTCACACTCGTGATGATAGCAAAACCTTTCCGGCAATTATTTATATAGCCACTAAAGAGAATCAACATTGGCTTGGGGAAGCACCGCTACGCACTATAGCGAAACAGATTACAGAGTGTTCAGGACCAAGTGGACATAACGTTGAATATCTCTTACGGTATTAAAATATAATATTTACACAAATCCTAGCTTATAAATGTAAAAATATTTTTTATCTATAAAAAAATAACGTGCATTTGTCATCATCAATCACATTGAAAAAAATTATTATATAAATATTAATATTAATGAATAATTGTTGGTACGTTTAAAATATAAAATAAATAATAAAATAATTAATAAAATAATAATAATAATAATAACAAATGATTTTCACGTGTTTTCGGTTACAGATTGGCCGATTTTATGCATAGTTATATTCCTGAAGCCCAAGACGAACATCTTTTTACATTAGAATTGTTCGTAAGATCGATTATAAAGGATCAAAATATGTGTTTAAATACTCTTATGGGAAATAGAGAATTTGTAATCGACCTTGAAAATACCGAACAAGGTCAGTTGGAGGCTGATCGTGATAATGCGAATGTTCATAATGGTGTCAATCGTGCTACGGAAAACTCTTTCCAATATGCATCTAGAATTCCTCAGACATTGCGTTGTCTTAAAATGTAATAGCCAATTATGTTAGAGAATTATTTTATTTTACGATTTAATATTAATCAAATCATTTCAAATCTAAAACATCTCTTTCTTTCTTTTGCTATGCTAAGATAACGAGAAAGTAAGAAAAATAGTTAGATTTGATAATAGTTATTTCTATACTTTCAATGAACAATTATATTTATTTCTTTGAACAAGATGTAACAAAAGTACACCGTAAAAATCATTTTTTTTCGTAATTTCGTTACACTTTGTATACAAAAAGTGACTGTTCTTTTTATTTAAACAAGCGCTGGACACTTTTGTTTTATAAATTTGTACATAAATATTATTTAGTTATTAAATATTTTTGGTTGGTAATTATTAAATATTAGATTTTATTTTACACAATAGTGTATTATTGCTTTTCTGCATATTCCACATCAAAATAATATTAATATAATAGAAATCTACAATTTGTGTATATTTCGTGTATAATCACAGTGCAATAGGAAATATTATTTATAAAATATTACTATAATAACAATTAAAAACAAAAGTAAATTCTATAATATTTACAAATTATATTTTAAAAGTTTATTTTACCGACCGTATACATGAGATCTACTATTACCAAATGATGATAAGTGTGGGATCTACTATTATCAAAACTTAGGTAAGCATGAAACCTACTATTACCGATAATAGCAAGTGAAGGAATCTATTATTGATATCAGTCGGTAACGTAGAAATTTTCTATGGTAATAATTTTTCAAAAATTATATTTATTTAAACATTAACTTTTCTCTTCATAAGAATATTAAACACATAGTACCCATACCCGCATACGCTTTAATAATTACAGAATGTACTTTTGTATTTATTTTGAACAATATTACAATAGCATTTAACAAAAGACTTTCCATACCTATACATAATTAATTATAAGTGTATCTCTCTTCACTATGTACCAAGCAGAAGAATTAAGTAGAATAATTATATTTTCAATAAATATAATATACTCTTGGCACCAAATATATATTACAAATTATAAATCTATGTGTCTAATCAATTTTTATCGAATGAAATGAAAGTGATATAATTTATGGTATTGAAATGCATCACCTGTCTCTATTGATTAAAAATCTTTTGTTGTGTTTAACTTATCATGATTAAAATATTCCAATTAAATTATTTAATTAAAATTGAAAAACTACTACCCATGTATAATAAATAGTATAAAACATTTATATATATATATGTATATTATAATTTGCAAAATTTAATATTATAGGCTATTGCATAATTTTTGCATATTTTTCAAATATACAAAATTCTGATCAGTTTCAGCTCTATATTTACAATTTTCGTGCGCTTGCTTTTATTAAAAAACATGCAGTATTTGATAAACTCCGGGATTATTTGAATGTGTCTCTATAACTATGCTTGTTAAGTCAATATGTGTGTACTATAAATAAAATTAATACAATGTACAATAACAATTAGAGAGAGAGAAAGAGATATTCTTTTTCTTAATTATATATACTATTTAAATACTATGTATATATGTATACATATACATATATATATACATATATATTTTTATCAATCCTGCAATTTATCAGATATTACATACATGTTTAATAAAGTTTTTATTTCTAATGTGAAATGTAATAGGATTTAGATTGTAGTAATTGAAATATTTGCAAATGCTTCTTTCTGATACAAACAAATTCATGCGATAGTTGGACAATTAATTGTGTCAGTCAAATACCAAGATAGCTACAAAATGTAAATGCTGCGCAGATGCACAAGATTATCAGAAACATTCCGAGCCAGAATGGTATTGTATCTGAAATGCATAAAATTTATGTAAACAAAAAAAATAATTAATTTTTTTTCTTATTGAAACTAGAATTAAAAAATGATAAGAATTATTATTATCTACTTACGTCTAAACGGTATACTGTGTATACAAATTCTGTTATCTATAGAAATGCTAATTACAGAAGTTTCTGTATTACTAGTGATAGGTGGTCCATCTAATTTTGTTGGTAAGAATTCTAAACCAGTTACAAACATATTGTGTGCGCCAGGTACATGTAATACTCTTCTTAAGCTGAAAGCAACGTATATGTCTACGCTACCAGAGAACATTGTTCCAACGGCTACAAATTTGCCATCGTCTGAGACTGCTAAAGCAGATAAAGTTTCCTTATAAGTAATAGATTTAATAATATTGCCAGACTCCGTATCCCACAATTGGAGAAAACTTGAATCCTTTCCCATAGTTGCATTAGAAAGAAGAAATAATTGATTTAATGATATATTCACTTCTGATATTCTAAATCGACATCTCTTGTACATATATTTAGTATTATTAGGAGAATTCCACGTAAGTTCTTTATTCAATGATCCACTTGCGACGTCCCATAAAATTGCTTTCCCATCTTTAGCTATGGTTATTAATGAGTTACCATCCGGACTAAAGTCTATATCATCTATTTCTTTTTGATGAGCTTTTAAGTCATGCAATTTCTGCAGTTGCGGAAATTTCCATATTCTTATGCAACCATCCGTACCACCGGTAGCCATTAATTTTCCATTCGAACTTATGCGAACTATTCTTTGCAGCGATTCGTCTTCGCTATTTATTCAATAAAAGAATCGAACATAAGATATTAAAATAATAATTATAAAAATATGATAAAATAAACAATAACACAGAAATAAATTACCTAAAATCTGTTTGAACACTGTCAACTGGTTTGATTACTAACTGTAATCTTTTACTTTTAATATTAGAATTGTCGTCTTTAATTTCTTCTATTTTCCCCTTCATTGACTTTCTTTCTTCTTCCATTTTTTCATTTGCTTTTCTATTTCTAACACTATCCTTGGTTACATTGGTAACTTTCTTAATAATCTCACCATTCTCTAGGTTGACTATTTTAGTGTTAACGTTATACAACTGACAATGATTTTCTTGACCAGCTAGTATCCAGGATCTTTTCGCATTATTGTAAGTAGCACAGTTCATTACCACGATAGGACCAGTTTCGTGTCTTGTAACTTCTTCAGCAATAAATTGTACTCCATCGTGTAGAAGTTCAAATATTTCCTATCAATAATTTACAGATTTCTATTTTTAATTAATATTCAATATAATTAATATAAAAATCTAAGAATATAAAAAAGTGTATCTCACAAATCCATTTGCTACTCCAGTTTTTGAAGAACCACCACCACCTCCAACAAGTATATGTCTACTAGTCAACATTTGCAATGTGTAAAGTGGAAAATTAACCCTAGCTAAGAGGCCACCTTTGTTTCTTCTTGAAGGCATTATGCATTTATTTTCTTTTTAAGTAGATTGATATTTCCTTGTTTTTCCTTTTTTATACAATTTCACTCACTAATTATATATATAACTATTTATTAAAAATTTACAATATTACCAATGCTATAAGTTCCACGTTTCATAGATATGTTCCATTGCAAATTTTATGAGGATCTTAACCTTGTATAAATCACTTTCTTAAATATAACCTTTAAAAGCAATTTTAAATATAAATTAAAACAAAAAATAATGCACGATAAACTATAAATAAATTACAATTAAATATAAATAAAAAGTGTTTTTAATGAGTTTTCTATTAGGAAATAATTGACAAAATATTGATATGAACACGTACTCAATCTTTCGCGTGATAGTTCTATTATTTCACCGCTAGGTCGCTGTACTTGACAATTCTCTTTAATGGAAAAAAAATGATTTAATAATTAATTAATTAACTCTATAATTATTTATTTTTTGAATTAAAAATTATATGGAACACAATGTTATGTTTATAAATATACACATTTTGTATTAAATTGTAATTAAGAAAATTCCAATTTTTCGAATACGTTATTATCGGGTTTAGTAAAAATATTTATTTGTCTGTCACTAGTATTAATTCCTGTAAAATCTGTCAATATCGTTGCGTTTGTTAAAGAAAGATCAGCTTCTGATTCCATTAAGGAATTTTTATGAAATTGCGAAATTTGTGAACATCTAAAAGAAATTATCGGTGACATTACCGACATGGTTTCCATAGACGCGGCATCTTTCTTATCGACAATATTTGGAGGGTCGAATTTGAAAAGTGTTGGTACACTTTTTATAGAAGTATTTAAATCCGTCTGTTTTTTTAACAATTCATCCGAAGTAAAAAATAATTTTGAAGTGGTATTCATCATAGTTGTTATTTGATTACTAGTTTTATTAATTTTAAATGGACTCGAGTGTGGTGAACGGGTAACAAAGCTCGGATTTTGATTAAGTGTTTTTAAATCGGTATCTTTAATGAACCATGATTGCGTTCCAAATGAATTTTGTTGATTTTCATCGACCAGATCTCTAAATTGTTTATTTAAATTTCGTCTCGAGTTAACTTCTTCTGTTTCATTAGTTTCCATCCTAACAGTTGTATTCATGTCAAAATAAGTTGCTGCAGTATCGTTCAATTGATTTTTAGAAGACATTTCCATATTATGCCAATTTAAATGAGCCGATTGAGTGGATTGAGCTGGTTGAGCCGGTTCAGCCAATTGAGTCGATTCGAAACTTTCCAAAGCTTCGCACAAAGCTTTTTCTTCTTGTTGCATTTTTTTAAATTCAGCAGTATAACAAACATCAAGCTCGTGTATAAGTCCGACGACATTTTTACGATTGAATTCGTTATTTTCTATGAGTTTATACATTGCCGCGACACGATCGTAACACGTCTTCTCCCATGAATTTGGTTCGGTAAAATAATCGTCTCTCTAAAATTAATACAAATAATTTTATTGATATTGTATCGAAAAATTATTTCGATTTTGTTTACTTTCTTACCTTCATCTTAGTAACTTCTTTTTGTGCATATTCTCGAGCTTTGCTAGTGATGGAAACAGGAAGACCTGATACTTCGGCTAATGCAATACCATAATTGTCTATGGGAGTTACACCTACCATTAATTTATGCGTGTATACTAATCGGGCTTCGTTTAAACCTTCCGTAAATTTAGTATCAGTCTTGAAGCAATGACTGTAAAAAAATAATAACAATTTGGTTAGTATATGTACAAATAAATAAATAATAACTTACTTTGTGACGTTGTAGTATATTTCAGCTAATTTGGTGAGATAACGAAAATGTGTAGCGCTGAAAGTAAACGCTGTGGTAATCAAAAGTCGTTCGCATATTGCCAATGTAATAGAAGAACCTTCTTCGACAGTTGTACCTCTGCAAAGTTCGTCTAAGATCACTAAAGATTTAGATGTAATTGATTGTAGTATGTATTGTGCTTCTTTCATCTGAAAATAAAAAAAAATAATAATAAAATATTTATATATTTTTATATTTTGCACATTTTTTTTATATAATTTATATTAATTATAAAAAAAATGTCATTAATAATTTACCTCAACAACAAATGTTGAAGCATTGCATTCTATGTCATCACGAAAGCATATTCTACAAAATATACGATCAGTAATTCGAAATTCTGCTTTTTTTGCTGGAACATAGCAACCAATCTAAAAAAATCAATTAATTTAATTATTTAATTATTATATAAAGTATTTAATATGTATAATTCTATTATTTGTATTATATTGATAAAAAGTTTTAGTATACCTGTGCCATGATATGTAATAAAACAATTTGTTTTAGGTAAATAGATTTACCACTCATGTTTGGGCCAATTATTGTATGATAATTGTAAGGTATTGATGCATGCTGTAACGGAATTAAATAATTTATCATATCAATCAGGAAATATTTTTAATAACAAATTTATACTACCACATCGTTCGGTACAGGTTGTTCTACCCCGAATACTGCCATTATAGGATGTAACGAATCTATTAGTTCTAATCTTGGTCCAAATTTCGGTTTTACGTATTCAGGAGATGAACTTATATGAGCTAAAGAAATAACTAAATCTAATTCTGCAACGTCAGCGCTTAGTTGATAAAGGCAACCAATGTGTTCGCGAATGTTCACGAGTAAATCATTCAAAATCCTGTAAATTTTATTTGCATGTTACATTAATTTAATATTAAATTAATCGATATATCTTTCTACGTTAAATATACAATTGTTTTATTTATAAATTATTTTTTGTAATAACCCCAAAAAACATAACTTACGCGTTGCTCATTATGTGAAGATCTTCACAAGCAATTTTACATTGATGACTTAATACCAATAATTTGTTTGTCGTCATAGAATAGGTGTTTTTATTTTTTTGTACCTATTTACAAAAAAAAGAAAAATGGAACATAAATAAAAATAGTTCAAAATTATTATTTATAGTTAACTTACTTGAACGAATTCCGATGGTAAATCGGATGGCTTGAAATCCATTTGTCGAGATATTTCTGCTAATATATAAAATCCTAAGGATGAATTGCATTCCAATGATAAATTCAATTTATATTGTATCGCTAAGTTTTCTACGAGATCTAAAAATTATTACAAAGTTAAACATGTGTTAAATAAAAAAAGAAAACGATATAACAAATGTTTCAAAGCAAATCTTAAATTAAACTAAAATTAAATTTTTTAAAAACTGACTTTTCATATCACTTATGAGTTCACAATATGTTTGTCGAGCAATATCCAATAAATCATTAATTCCTGGCTTAATTGCAAAACATCGTTGCATGTTTGATGACGTATATCCAATTAGGGATCTTGCATCAGGATGTATTATTTGTAAAATTTTATTTTTCATTATTTCAAATTGTGAATTCTCCAAGTTCTAAGAATATATAATCAATCAATTGAAAAATTCATTTATAATAATAATAATCGAAATAATGATTAATAAAATTATTAAAAAAAGAATTAATACTTTTCGAATTTTAGCAAAAAATGAAGCACGACCACTTTTAAGCGCTTCTCGTAATTCTGGTACTATTTCAAGAGAATTTTTTAATAAAAGAACATAATTTAAATTTCTTTCTGCATTTTGTACAGTATTGTTTTGTAAAGTCATCATGGAAAGACTCAGAAGACGATCAGCACCATATAATCTTCTTACAAAAGGCTACAAAATAAATTACAATACAATAATAAATAATTATATAATTATTATCACGATTATTTTAATAAAAATATATACCTGAACGAGATTGCATAATAAACGATTAGAAACTAACTCAGCAATGCTATTTTGACGTTCTATAATTATTTCTTCATTGCAAAGAGGTTGTAAAATAGATGCTCTTAAAAGTCTTCTACCTATTGGGGTAACGCAATGATCCATTGAACTTAAAAGGCTAGCGTTTTGTTGACCACATTGTGACACAACTAATTCTAAACTTTGTGCACTTTCTATGTCTATAATAAAATAGAAAAATAAATTAATATGTGTATTTATAAATGTTGAATGTACAAATATTTTACTTCTTTATTTCAATTACCTATAACTGTGGTATTGGGTGAACCTTGAAATTCAATTCTGATTGATTTTGGTGCATAAACGATATGCTGAATAAATTCGATATACTTTAACAAAGCTGAGGCTGCTGCTAACGCGTAATATCTATAATATTAATATTAAATATTTGTAATAAATGTGATATTGAATATAAATGTAATTAACTTTTTGTGCTCGAAAAGTTACTCTCGGAAAAAGGCTTCGAGTGCAAAGGGTTAAATTTAGCAAATATATAAGGTTGTGTCATAAGTTCTTTCCGCGCCACGCTATGTATGATTTCAAGCCGATTATTACTTGTTTCTCTCGTTAAAAAATTCTCTCTGTGATAAATATCACAAATCCGAAAGCGAAATAAAAACGCAACTATATGAATATTTTGCAAATAAGTCTCAACAATTTTGGAAAGAGGGCATAATGAGGCTATTGATTTCGCATAAAAAAAGGAAGGAACTTATGGGACAACTGTGAATACTTCCTATCATTACTTTTGCTTTAAAAATAATTCCACTGTCGAATATTCTTTGGCACAATGTGTTTTTACACGGTCCAAACCGACAGATTCATTAAAATGAATTCTTGATACCGCAGTGATACATAAATTAGGAAATTTTTCTTTGATAGATAAATACAATTTATTTCTATTTTTCGTTTCGTTGCACATCGTATCTGGCATCAAAATCTAAAATTTATATTAATCTTATAAATATTCTATTATTTGAAATAAATCATTTCTTTTGTATCCTGCTATTAGACTAATTATTTACCTCAATTGGATTAAATATATAAATCTTTGTCAAAGTATTTATGTATGTTTGATAATCACTCATTTGACAAAGAATTAAATGCGAATGGTGAACATCTATTGCAGCTATTCCTACTTCTCCTCTAGCTTCTCCACGACCAGATGTGACAGCTAAATAAAATTAATTATATTTAATTAAATTTAATTTACATATTTAAACAAATTCAATTGTAGAATTTATAAATACGCCTGATAATAGGCAACATTTTATACACCTCGAATTTTTTAGTTCAACGACTTGATCGCTAGATGGAGGTAATTATAGATTCTACAGAAATCTGCAATATCGACTTTACCAATTAAAAAAAAATATGAAATAGAAAATACGAAATTAAATTAAATATATTATCAATAAATATTATACTTTGGTGTATATTTTATTTATAACAATATTAAAATTACCGAGTATGATACAAGATTCCGTTGATGTATAGCTTCCTGGCGTTCTTGTAGTATTTGATCTATATATTAGATAATTATTTAAAAAATCTTATTCTATTAAAAAATAAAAACATAACAACAAAATTATTGATTACCCTGCACTTCCTCTACGAGTTGAACTTGGAAGAAATGAAGATGTGGATGCACTTTTTAAATTTCGATGCACATTCGTTCTTACAGTATTTGAATTTGTGGGGCATAGTTCGACCAATGGTTTTCTAATTCCAAAATCAAAGCCTATTGAAATTATTAATAAAAAATAAATTATTATACCAGAAATCTTATTTCTATTGTTTGATCAGCACAAAAAAAATATTAATTAATTACATACGATATTTAGGTAAAACATTGGTTATCATTTCTCCTCCTACTTTTCCTCGTCCTCTTCCTCTAACTTTTCCTCTCACAGGAGCCGCAGTATCGTTGCGTATAACATTCATGTTAATTAATTACTCTTTTAACAAATTTCAATATTATTTAATTATTTATAGATAATTGGCGTTATTATAATTACAAAATTAAAATTTTCAATGCATTCGTTCGAACGTACGATAAATTTTCGTTCAATCGGTGGCCATATTAGATCGCCACATTTAGCGGGATATTTAAATTTGAAATAAAGTGCAGACAAAATTAAATTTTATTGCACTCCCACACAGATACAAGTATTATTAAATTATTTATAGATAATTGGCGTTATTATAATTACAAGATAAGTATTATCAAGGCATTCGTTCGAACGTACGACGATTTTTCGTTTTCGATATGCGGCCAGGTTCGATCGTCATATTTGGCGGGACAATATTTGAATTTGAATTTGAATGAATATAAAAATTAACTTTAAAAAAGATTATCTTAGTCTCATAGGAAGAATTTTTTATTTACAAATTCAATGCCTCCTTTTTTTCATTTTTTTTTTTTTAAATCCGTCCAACGTTACAGAGTTCCGCACAGAACAACAGACTTAAGCGATAATTAATAAATAAACACAATCACAATTACTATTGTTTTGTAATAAATATTATACCGTCGGCCCTCGAAATTTCTTTAAATTACATTCGTATTTACACACGATTCCTAAGTGCTATTTCAACATTAGATATTCCACGTTAATTCAGTGGAATTCAATAGGGACAGTTTGAGAAACTCGTATTTTGCTCTTTGATGTGATTTTCTTTTTTAAAAATGCAGGGCAAGAATTATTGTAAGAAGTTTTCGTTTATAAAATCTACTTTTAGTAGAAGATATTTAACGCTTGAACCCTCTCAAATGATTTTCGAGTAAATTAGAGTACTCATTCTGGTCCCCAGTTACTCGTCGCTCGCTTTAAATCACATCTGTTAAAACTCATATTTTCGTTTATTTATTTATCAGAGATTTAATAATCATCATCAATGTGATTAATGAAGAAAATGCATCAAAGACTTTGTTCTCCATTTTCTTCTTTTTCTTATCTTCGTCATTGTCTATTTGGAAATACAATTAAGCATCATATTGATTGCCAGATCTGCTCATATATATATATATATATATATATAATCCCTCTAAAGGAATATTTAAAGTGCAAAAAATGCTGGTAAGATGTAAATATATCTTGACCACTTTTATTACCTCGAAAATATATATATATATATATATGTGTGTACGTATGTGTTTATATTATGTGAAAGCTTAACGTGAAAACTAACGTTAAGAAAACGCGATAGTATTTTCTCTTACATTGGTCTTTTAGAATGCAACTGCGATATAAATGTTTTTTTTTTTTCTATGACGAACGTGATTTAAACATTTAACAGTATATTTCAAAATTCATTGCAAGCTTTCCCATTTCTTTTTTTTTTGATTCCAAAGCATATGCGATACAATTTTTTTGTTAAGATTTCCATAAGATTAAAATGCATTAACTTAAAATTAGATTATTAACATATTTCTCTTTATTTTCGCATAGCATTTTCGTAGATCAGATTTCTTTCTTTTTTTAATATATATATATGTTTTTTGAACAAACTTTTTTATCATACATGATTCTCTTTCTTTCTTTCTCTTTCTCAGTATATATATATAAACTTAAGCCTTTACTAGACTATAAAATACCATAACAGCAGTCTCGCACTTATTGTTAGATTTAAAATAATCTTGATTACAAACTATGTAATACGCGTCGAAAATATAGTATAACGATTTTGTATATAATATGTGTATAATAATAGATAGATAGACGCGTAATCATTTTTATTATCACATGGTGTATACTTTATATTTATATATATATGTGTGTGTGTGTGAAGAAGATATAGAAAAATTAACTAATGTTTTAATTATTTTTTTTATTTGCTTTGTAAGCAAGCTTAATTATTATTTTTTTTGTTTTAATTTTAAAGGGAAGGGCATATGAGATAGAATCTTCGAAGATTTACGAATTTTCATACTTTCACATTCTATCATTTGAACCCTTATTTATATATATATAGATTTAGTACACGTGTATGTATGTGTGTGTACATATAATAATATGTACAAAAATGATGATTATTATCATTACAATTTTTTTTTCAACACAGAGACAAATGCATAAAAATTCAGCTAATTAATTATGCTAAAACGTTACAACTTTACAAGGACCTTGTGACACAAAGCCAACGCTATGCGAGAAACTCACAAATATGCAAATTGATTATTAAAATATAAATTTTAAGGGTTGATTTACGTCACGGTATAAAACTATCCTACCGTTCGTGCGGGCCGCTTATTATCATTATTATTATAATTAATATTATTATTATATATATATTTTCTATATACAAAAATTTACTCAAATCACAATTCACAAGTATGATGTGTGTGGATAATTGACATGATATATAAATACCAAAAAGCAAGATTGTTACTTGCTTTCTTTAATATATATCTTGAAAACATTATATTACTTATTCTTTGTATTCTCCTCTTCTACTAAAAAATCAAATAAATTTCTTCATACCAATGATGCTCATTGCATTAATACTCAATGCAGTTTTAATACAATATACAGCAAAACAAATGGTATTTAATGTACAATGCATCCCTGACACAACCATGACCGTAACGAGTATGTGTATCAGATATACACAGCATTCAGTGCTATTTGTTTTGCCACATACTGTATATAATATAATATAATAATAATAGTATTTAATACAATATAATTTATATAACATAATATAATACGATAATAGCATAAAATGATTTGATCAGCTTATTATCATTTTTTTTGCTTCTTTCATTCATTCGCAAAAGCTGATACACATGTAAAACCGAAGTTTAAAAATTCAAGTGTAAGAATTAATAAAAAAATGATTAAAAATGTTCTTTTTGGTTTCGTATCCATGATCCAACGCAATAATTAAAATAATACATGCAAAATATTATTTTTTTGTATAAAGAACTGATTCATAAGAATTCTTTGGCACGGATGAATAATTTTTGTTTCTTTTTTTATAATATATGTATCGCATACCTACGATTCGATGAATTTGATAGCTTTTTTTCAAATATATATATATATATTTTGAAGAAATAGATAATTATTCTGAGTGTTTTAATGCGAAGATACACAATGTCTGATATCGAATTTGATATGGCTCGTTTAGCAATTCATTGTTACACATGGGGGCGGGCATTATCGTTATCAATCGAAAGCGAAATGTGGCAGGCATTTAATTATAATTTCATTTGAAATACAGGGCGTCCTAATAGTCGCTTTACCGAATTGAAAAATTAGAAATAATTTTTTTGGGCAGGTATTTGGAGCAGTGATATATTTTATTAAACAACACCGTAACTGGTCATTCATATTTTCCAATGATAAACGAAATATCCTAATACTATTTAAAAGAAAACAATATTTGTTTTATGTTTTCTCGGTTGAAGCGACTTTTAGTGGAACATCATGTGGATTTCGAAAAAGTACCTAAACGTGACTTTCAAGAGGTACTTTGAAAACTTTCGATGCTAAATTAGCGTCTGGCAAGGATTGTGGTCTCGCATTGGTAACATTGAAAACAACGTTACTGGGGCCACGAAAACTAACTTCGATTAAAAAACTAGTATCAGCTGGTACGTTAACACGATTGGTACTCAAATCCGGTGAGCTAGTTCTTAATTGACTTTTCTTTGGCTTGTAATCATTTTTAATAACCCTTTCAGCTTCCGATTGTAATTTATTATCAAGCCAATGAACTTTGTCAAAATCCTTCGTACCACCAACGGTGTGTCTTCTTTTTAATGATCTTTCAGGCATCCCATTTTTTCTCTTCAATTTCGTAGCACTGTCCTTTCGTACAGATTGTCGTCTTTTACTTATATTACATTCAGTTTTTTCTGTCTTAGTCAACGATTCAGATCGTTTCAATTTACTATTAGGTGATTCCGATCTGTCCGAATGTTTGTTCAAACTTTCCGAACGTTTTAATTTACTATTCGTCGGGGATGCCAATCTTTCCGAATGTTTGTTCAAACTTTCGGATCTTTTTAATTTGGAGAACGTATTTTCCGATCTCTTGTTCAACGATTCGGATCTTTTTAGTCGTGATCTTTCTTCGTTGTTCGTTAATATCTCGAATTTTTCTAATTTGTTCGAATAATTCGTGTCGAGTTCGTGTACTTTTTTATCATCCGTTTTATTTTCCGATTCGGTTGATTTGCGAATATTCGACGATCCACATCCACCACCTTCCTTCGTAGTTGCATTATCCGATTCTTCTTTCCTCTTATCTTCATCTTTTTTAGTTGAATCTGTTATAGTAGCGTTTGTTTCTTTTACATGATTAAGAACATTTTTCGTTTCTAATTTGATTGCATTTCGATCGTTGTCCGGTTTAGTCATTGCATCTGGATCGTGTACTTCGGTAACCGTCGAATCTGTATCTTTTTCTAATGCCTCCTAAATGTTATAACATAAATTTATTATTAATCAAAATATTACCTTGATTAATCGCGTGCAAGTTAAATAAAATCAAATGAAAATAAGAATCATTAATTATCATAATCCGAACTGAACGTATTTTAAATGTGAACTGTTAATATTTAAAATATAATCTTACGTCTTTTGCTCGAAGAAAATGATTTTTATCGATCGATGACTTATGAAGACTAGGATCCCGGTAAACTTTTTCCGTTGGTTGATTCTTTTCGGAATGGTCCTCAATCTTGATCTTTTTTTGATCATCTGAATTATCTACATTGTCGAGTGGTGCAGTTTCTACGGATGTTTGAACGATTTGACTTGATGGATTCACGAGTGACCTCCATTTACGATCGAAGGTTGTCGTAAGGCTGGTCAATAAGTCGCTACCTGAAAAGAAACAAATTAATTTCAATGAATATTAATAAGAAAATTTTTTAACATTTCTTATTTTTGTATTTTAGTGAAAAAACATTCAAAGCACCGTTTAGTTATTTTAGAAAAGTATGTGTGAAATGTTGATTTTACATCATAAAAAATTCTGCACGAAATATAAATAATTTAAAAATAAATATAAATTAATTATTGCAAATTATTTTTTTAATAAAACAAAAAGAAAAACAAAACAGTCTTCCGTTCGTACCTAGAAATGAATTACCTGTGAAAAATAAATTTACCATCTTTCGAATAATACCGAAAAACAACATGAATAATAAAAGATATGATGGTGAACGATGACGAAAAGTATAACAAAAATTAACAATACAAAACGAGAACGTGTAGCGTAAGCGAACAGAAAAAATATTGTACAAAATTGGTGACTGATATATATATATATAAATATATATATTCGCATAATGATAATTATTATTCGCTAAATATCGATCATATTTAAAAACGCAACAAGGAGCGGCTATTAGTAATGAAAGAAAAATTATTTATAAATCATAATACCTCACGCATTACAGACGCATCCGCAATTTTACCAATTAAAGCTAACGATTTACGATTAAGCTTCACACTTATGCATAATTATTAATAAAAATGTGACGAATGACAATTACACATTTTTATACACAAACATTATAATTTTAACACACGTGTTTTTCACATAAAACTAATGCATTGAATTTGAATTATTTAATGCATTTGTCACATTTCGATATATGTTTCAATACTTATCACATAATCGATGATATCGATAATAACAATGCATGTAATAATAATAATAATAATAATAATAATAATAATAATAATAATAATAATAATAATAATAATGATAAGAAATATTGAAACTAATAGCAAATAGGAATGTTTTTTCTTTGCTATTGATCAAACGAAATACATAATGATTTTGTAAGTAATAGTAATAATAATAATAATAATAACACGATGACATTAATAATAATAAGAATAATAATAATAATAATAATAATAATAAAAATAGCAACGACAACAATAATGATGATAAGATGATGGTGGTAGTGATGATGATGATAAGAATAACAATAATAATGATAACAACAACAATAATAATAATAATAATAATAATAATAATAGCACTAAAAGTAGCTGTAATAGTAGTAGCTGCAGCTGTAGTAGTGATAAGTGTAATAACATTAGTGAAATGATTAACAAAAAACAATTGTAAGCATTTGGAAAGGATAATAAACCGCAGCGGGATGTGTAAACGATATAAATAAATAAAAAATAATAATATATTAAAAATAAAATAAAAATATATATTACTTTTCATTTAAGCTTATACAATTTAAAAGAATTAAAAAAAAAATATATATATATATGTATATGACAATTTAAGATTTGGAGTACTAAACTTGTAAGAGAAATTTTTGTACAACTACATCGAATTTCATTAAAATACAAGCATACAACACATGCCCGCGTACTTGTTTGTTATACATGATTTTGTTTTGCAATTGAATAATTCCTGAATATTTGAGATTAAAATTAATTGACGACGAATAATGATAATTCTCTCGTAAAAAACGTAAAATAATTGAACGATATCTTTGCACAACGATTATTCATGTTTTGTAATTTTCCACAACATATCCTCTCCATCGCTAATTACTGAGAGACACATAGTGCGAGAAACACACACATACACGCACGCGCACACCCACGTGAATAAGGAAAAAAATAAACAGATTGAAAAAAAGGACAGAAATATCAAATACTAGAATTTGTGGTCCGAGGAAAAACAATTTGAAGAGAAACTCTATATGTAAAAAAAAATATAAAAAGAAAGAAAAGGATCAGGTTGGGGATAAAAAAAAAAAGAAAAAGTAAGAGAAGGGTGTTTAAGCGGATTAAAGTTAGAAAACAAAAAAAAAAGAAAAAACTAGGATAGAATTCGCATGTGTATATCGTGTTGGCATGGGTAAAAGATAGAATAAATAAAAATAATAAATAAATAAATAATATAGTCATTAGAGAAGAAGAATATAAATAAAAGAATAAGAAGAAAGAGAAAAAGAAGAAAAGATAAAAGCCATTCGAATGAGGCAACTGTCAGCAGCAGCTCCTTGGACACCGACGATGCTCTGTGGTGGTCCTCTGATGGATTTACCTCGGAGAAATCTGTTTAAAGTCTTGGAGGGCGCACCGGGCCCTGACCCTGATGACCCTGCTGATCTTGACACCTCTGAAAGGTGCCCTGGTATGAAGGACTGGGTTGCTGCCGCTGCTGCTGCTGCTGCTTGGCTCGTTGCTCTTGAGTTTGTTGTTGGCACTGTTGTTGCTGCGGCTGCTGCTGATGCTGTTGCTGTTGAGATTGATGATCTGTAGAGTGATCTGGTACTGTTAACACCGGTTGATGCTGGATCAGCCGATGATGAGAGCGATGTCTTCGTGGTGGTGCCACTGGACCCTGTGGTACCGTGTAGGTGGGATGATATGTAGCACCAAAAACCCGGACTTGTTGTATGCCTACGTACGTTCAACGTATTTCGGATTTGTCATAATCGGAACCGAGTGCGAAGAAGGATTGGCTGCGACAGGCGCGATAAATCATCTCTCCCCACGCATCTTCTTTCTATATTTAATTTTAGGTGGTTTTTTTTTTTTTTTTTCATTGCAGTTAAACCCTTCCGCCTCGGTCCGAATTAAACCGATACGTTTTTTGTTTTGGTATTTGACTTTTAATAGTCTTCCTCCACGTGGAAAAGATGATCATCGAAATTGGAAATGGATTTTTTCTCACAAACTCGTTCTTTGTCTGTTTGTTCGTTTGTTTTTTAATAATTGTTGTGGAGTGAGTTTGGGAGATTAAATCTTTCTGATTTCAATGATCATAGATTATTGTTATTAAAAGTATAATAAATTGATAATAAATCGTAGAGACTGAGGCGGATAGGCAGAAAAAAGGCAGGAACTTGACAAAATATGAGCACAGGCGTGTAAGCAGCCAGGCAAACAAGCAGGCAGGCAGCAAACGACGTACTTCGATGCTCGTTGCTTCCAAAAGCGCAGTAATAAATGTTTCATTTCAATTTTTAAATACCTATATATATAAATGTATATCTATATATATTTAAAAATTTATATTCTTGACGAACTATCGATTTTAAACATTTCCAAACCTGCATGCACGTTTATTATACGCTAATCGATTAAAACAGATTAATAAGTGAATTTTATCTTGCGCAAAATTTGAACAAAATCATCGACTGTGACTCTTCTAACTAGATTTAATTCCAACTAGATTTTTAATTCGTTAATTAAACTATTAATTGTTATATATTATATAAAAACTTTGTCTATAAATGTTTTTGTTTGATAAAAATATTGCATATAGGATTATTGCAATGGCAAAAGTTAAATTACAAAAATCAAGTTATTGGTATTAAATTTGAGTTAATTTTTGTTTTGTTTTTGTAAAAGAAACTTGTTATCCTCAAATTATTACGTGTAAATATATTCATTATTACGGTTAACGATTAGAATTATTTATCGATGTATGTTATATAAGATTACAGGTAAGAAAAATGTTTGTAATTAAAGAAATAAATCTATAACACCATGCTTCGATGACATGCTACGCATATTTCGTAACATTGCTGATAACAAAGCAATTTCTAACTCGCGTTTTACTGTAACTGAATAATTGTATAAAGTATATGTAAAATTAATTTAAAAAAAAAAAAAAAATATTTAAAAAAAGAAGAAGAAGAAGATAATAATATTTAGATAGATAAAAATAAATGTGTACGAGATCAAAAACTTGGATAGATGTATAGAAATTTCGTTTGTCTGCTTTGTAAAAAGAAAAAGGTTGCTTTATATAAGAACGTGAAGAAGTAGATAAAAGTACCTAGAAAGCTTTTTGTTAATAGTGAGAATCTTCTGAGTCCAGTGTAGAAAACATGATCCGGCTACACTCACCGACCATCAGAAGCGAGATTACAAAGAGAAAAATACAGAAAGAGAATAAATTCATAGATAAACGAGAAAGCGCGCGTATTTATCATTTAGCCATTAATCACGTCACATTTACTTCTAATTCGTAACAATAATTAATTCATTCATTAATTAATAGTCGATTATTTAAACTTCTTTAGAAATTTATCATTGTGTGCAACAATAAAAATCAATATATTCGACTTTTTCCATATTTACAAACAAAAAAAATCACACGAAATTATTTTCTGACATCGAATATCCTATATTAAAAACAATAATTATGTTTAAAAAATACATTCTGACATTTTCGATAAATTATCACATCATTATCATTTTATACTTCACTTTGGTCATCTGTCTAAAAATCTTATCTTAACAAACATTATTCAAATATATATATATATCATTAATTAAAGTGTTATTTTGTTTTACATAGTTTAAGAAAATCATTGAACTTACAGGTGTGCACATTAGATCTATATTGATTTAGGATACATCCTGATCAGATAATGTAGTGCCCAAAAATCAAACACGCTAAAGGTCCATACCAGATGTATTCGCGATAAATCGAAAAAAGTTTTAATACAGAGAGATAGAGAGAGAGAGAGGGGGGAAAAAAATTAAAAATAAATAAACAAATAAAGTAATATAAAACAGACAATTCAATACTAACCATCGTCCGAGACATCTCCAGAAATTCCTCTCCTTTGTTGGGACGGCGATGGCGACGAATGTGGAAGGTTGTGTACTTCGTGAAGCGAATCCAAGCTGCCGTAACGAATAGGCGGTAGGCAAATAGATTCTAAAGACGGCTAAAAACAAGAAACGAAAAAAAAGAACAAAAAAACAAAAAAAAAAAAACAAAAAAAAATAAATTTCAAAGATATATAAAAATTGTATCAAATATTTTACCAATAGATGTACATTTATTTAAATATATTAATGCATAAGGGAATGCATTGGTCTCACCTCTTGATCTGTTTTAAACTTTTTGATAACACCATTATTTATCTTCTCGCCTAATACATTACTAAGTTGATTAGTAGCTTGTGCTTTCTGACGCGTCGTAGGTTGTTGTTGTACAGCTATCGACAAAGGAGTAGGAGCCATTCTTGTTGTAGATCTTGATCTGGCATGTTTCTCGGATAAATCAGCTAATGATTTTTCAGCCAACCTTTGATTCACATTAGTTAGTCGTCCCGATAGAAAATTCGGTATCACCGTACTGTCAACTATACTATCTAAGAGATCGTCATTTTCCATTTCACGTTTCGCCAAATGCCATTCCTTATCTATTCTTCTTCTTTCCTCTTCTCGCTTCTCCGCTTCGCGTCTCTGCCGATGCTGATCTCTCTGCAACATAGCCTTTGTCTCCTGTTCAAACCTTCGTATTCTTTCTTGGGTCGTTGCACTCAGTCCGGCATACGTTCTTATAGCTACCTCATCGTTACTCTGTTTATTCTCATTGGATGCATTAGATGTCATCGAATTTGTATCCAAGCAACTCAAACCAGCCTCGCTCAAAGGCCTCGACGATGATTCCGAACTCGAGGAAACACCACCCACGTGTTGATTCGAATATTTTGATCGACTAGAAGAGGATGAAGCACTTACTGGGCTATTGTTATTCGTTGACGATGAACGTTCTAACGGTTCCGACGAATTATTAGAATGATTGTGTTGACTTTTGTTCTCGTGCATCAATACTATTTCACTGACTGAACATTGACGTTCGTTGAGTGCCATACTCTGACGAATCGTCGGTGAACTTTCTGAGCTTTCATGCTTTATTTTAACCTATTTAATTGAATTGTTAATGCGATTATATCTGATCAGAAGGTGTATTATTAATTATATCATGAATACGTATATTTAAATAATATATACCTTCTCTTCATCATGTTCTTCATTCTCTGCTTCATCCTGGCCCTTTCTTCTCCTTTGAATTTTCCTGTTAGCTGCAGATATGATTGAAGATACAATGTCCTTTGCTGATACCATTTCGCGCATGCCTGTTTTATCAAAATAAGAAAAAAGCCAGCAAAATAAATAATAGCACATACAAATAAAGAAAAATAAATCGAAGCATTGCAATTAGCAAAATATAATAATCGACTAATAATTTATGTATGATATTCTAATGTGGTTTCTTTTTTTTTTTTTTTTTTTTAAATAAAATGAATTCAACTAAATAAAATGAGCGATACAAATTCACACGTATCTAATTTATTAAAACTAATGAAATATTTTAATAAGAAATCGTTGATCTGTTAATATACCTTCGACTTTTTGTATATTATTTAGTAGTAGATTATGATTAGTATGGGATGTTGGTTCAAGCTCACAACCGTCAGCTGGAAGACTTATGTTAACACTAAGTCTACTTAAATCATCGAGATCTTCTTCCGAGAAGAACCAATCAACCTAATAATTATCAATAAGTATATTCATTTGTTTATCACAAATTCAAATTAATCGTTTGTAAAATAATTGAATATTTTTTAAATACTAACATTGTTTAATAAACTTTCGACTATTTTACATTGGTGAGACATATCAGTGACCATTGTAACCATATTATCCCTTGAACCACTTGCGCGTACTAATGTCGGTCCAAAAACGATAGCTATGTTTTTAGCTTCCATTTTATTGACTTCACTATGTTCTACGATTCTCTTCAAGTGAAACATTAAATATTTGAGCGTTTCAAAATGATGTTCTGGAAGATCTCTTAATAATTTCCTTATTGTAGCCATTCTCCTTTGTGGATCTTCAATTTTATCAGCGTCAATAAACATGGGATACAATTCTGCAGTTAATAACGAATCTGGTAATTGTCGGAAGAAAGATTTCAATAAAGAAGATATCACATTCACGTCACTCCATCTTGGATCCTATTAAAAACAATTTATTTATCAAGATGTAATGATTTAATTTATCTTAACATTTTTTAACGAAATATAAAGACATCTCTACCTGTAGATTAATATTCTCAAATCCTTTATTTACACTCTCAGTAAGCTGAGAAATGGCAGCAGTATTTCCTGGCACTCTGTAGATTCCAACAACCTCAAGGCCACGTGCCTCGACTATGCTAGTGCACATTTCAACTATAAGAGGTACAAATTCCGAAAAGGAAGACTACAACAAATTATTAAATAGCAATTAAATAGAATGAAATAGATTTTTGTAGATGACTTTACGAAACGTTTATATTTACCGATGGACAAAGTTCAAGGGGTACTTTAAACGTGGCACCTTCCGGTGGTAATTGTGCAGTAGGCGATGATGGTGAACCAGCTTGTTGACCGTGCATTTTTCTAAATTGTTTAGCTACTCTACCCTTCCAAGTTTTAGTTTTTGGAGATGAAAGAGGTTCCATAGTTTGACTTGGTTTCCTTGTTTTATTAACTGGCGATTGTCCAGTCGGTGATCTATTTCTAAATGATGTTAACTTCTTAATACCTTTGTGGCTAGGTAAGGGACTCAGTCTTTGATTAGCATTTTGAACAGAGGCAACACTGGGTGTTGTTGGTCCGGGAGTTTGTGGTACTGCTTGTTGTTTTGAAGTACTAGATGTTACATCCTAAAAATTAAATATTAATAATTATAAATACTATAGAATATTTTTTCAAAATATAAAGAAATAAATTTACCAATGGCTTTTCAGTAGCAGCGTATTTATGAAGTGCTCTTAACCAAAGAGCCATAGAAGCTGCATCTTCTGTTTGTAAAAGCACTTCTGCTGTAGGATTAACCACTCGTAAAACATGTTTTCGTTTGGTGTAATCCTCAGCAATATCCACCAATGAACACCTGACATCAATATTTTGTACAGTACCTTCAGTATCGTTAACCGATGAAGGGCTCTGTATATAATAATACAATAAATTGTATTACTGAGTAATTATTTGTTACGAGATATTAATGGTAAAAGTAATTGAATTGTTTTTAATTTACCTGACTGTGACGATCCTTGTAAAAGAATAAAATTGGACCTCGAAGAACACCCCAAATTTGCTTCCAGGAACGATCAGAAGATCGCTGAAATATATATACATATATAAATAATGTTATTAATAATTTGTTAAATTTATTGTTAAATAAAAAAATATAAGAACAACTCATTTACCTTGCCATCGAGCACTGTGAATTTAATGTGAAGTGTGCCTTCCCGTTCAACTGGTTCAACCTCCTTCGGAATTTCATTGCCACTATCCGTGGTACTTACAATACTATTACTGAAATAATTAAAAAAAAAAAAAAAATAAATACATCATATTTCAATATTAATTTTGTACTTTTACGAATCACAGACAATCAACATATAAAGTGTTATGTTGTGTAGTCACTGAAAATTTATATACATTGATGAGAAACATTTTTATTAACAGTTATGAATTCGATTTCATAAGAAGATCATTCAATGAAATATGTTATTAAATATTCCATAGAAATGAAAAATTAGATACAGTATCGGTTGTGCGTATATACAGGATGTAATGAAACTTTTCTTTTAAATTATAAAATATGTTGTTAAGACTTTGAGGAAAAAGCTTGGACACCCTGTATATAGAAAATATATACAGCACTTGTTATTAATCACATACGATAAAACACTTGCAAATATATTTATGCGCATTCAAAAAAATGTCGATAATACAAAAAAGCCTTGTCCACATATATAGAGATGCGTTGTCTATTATATAACAAATGACATCACTGAAAACAATCACCTTATATTAATGAACAGTTTTTTAATTACTGCAATAACCCAACATCTGTCTGTATATTTCCCCCTACATTAAGAATATTCAAGCTATAAATATTATATCGCTAAGGTTTTATCACTCGCATACGTACATGTATATATATACGATAACTCAACATAAAAAGTTATTACATAAAAAAAGTAAAAACTAAGCCATCTGATCTGGATAGAATAATGTTAGTCATCCTCTTGAGTCACTTTGAAGTGTAGATATCCTACATAAAGCAAATATTCTAGACATTGATTTGCAAAACACATTATACACACATAATGTGTGTGTATCTGTAACAAAACAATAATCTGCAAATAGATATGACCCAAACTATTCAGAGAAGGAGAATGAAATATGGTAATGCTGTGCTCATTTTTTACTAAATAAAGAAGAAGAACCCACGAGTACAACAAAATTAAGAAAAAGAAATTAGAAAATAATAGTATTATTACAACCTAATCGCTGTTCCCCCTGAGTATGAGGAAAGAAAGAAATATAGAAAGAGTTAAAAGCAATCATAATTAATGAAAAGAAGAAAAGAAGAAATAGAACAAAGAATCATATCGCTTGCATAGAAAAAAGATACTATTCTGTAACAATAGATTTACTAAAGGAAAAAAATAATGTCGAACGTATTTACAAAAGCAACAAAATTCTAATGAAATTGTTTCAACGAATGGATCAACGAAATTAAATCATAAATAGCTTCGGAAATAAATAAATAAATGAATAAATAAAAGTAAAAAATTGAAAAAAAAAATACAAATAAATACGATGCTTTCTCTTTTTTCGTTTTTGGGGTTTTTTTTTTCAAGGCCTTCTACAAACGATTACACCCTCACCGAAGAGAATGTAGATGAAGATTTGTAGACTGCGTCATATCCTCAAAGATTCGTCTTAATGGTGCTATGTCGCTTGTAAATAATGGTGGTCTCCATCGTCTATGTGCACTGGAAATACATACACATGAACATAACTGAAAACTTAAAACTGTATTTACGCGCGTGGAGGGGATTTAGTAATTCAAATAAAAGTACAATAAATAATAACTTGCGTTACACAGCATCACCAAAAGGAACAACAATGATATCTTTTTCTTTAATTATGTCGGTGAATTATTCCAAGCACCCAATACGTGTTTCTCGGCTGTGAATTATACAGTGATTCGAAAAGGGGAAAAGGGGGGAAGACAAAAATATGATTTGTTAAGAGACACGCGCGTATATCACAAATATACATTAAAAATGAATAAACGAGAATGATAAAAATGGTGACGAAATAAGCCAGATTTGTTCAGTCCATCTTGTGTTTTTCCAAACATCAACTTCACCTATACTGATTTATTAGCTTATCTATTAATTATTAATAATTTTTTCTACTTTAAATTCCGTACATATTGAAATGTCCAAAAATGTGATAATAAAAGAAAAAATGTACCTTCTAAGAACGTGAACAGGTTCAGTGTCACTAAGATCTAAATCACTATCAACGTGCATTCGTTCACCCCACGTAGCTTTCAGGTAGGAAACTCTTCTCGTAGCGCGCTCTTCGTCACCTACAACATCAAATTATTGTTTAATATACTTCATATTATTATTTTTAATCATTTTTTTTATTAATATAAACCATAAAAAATACTTACTCAACTGTGCGTTTTTCTGTCGTCTTAGGATTACTCCATTGTTTGATGTTTCATCGCAAGGAGCTGTGAAAAAAAAAAATAATATTATGAACAATCTACCCATGCGATATTTAATTGTAATTGTTATATAAAAATCATATGAAAATATAGAAAAAGATATTATTTTAATTAACTGACCAAGTTGACTTCTAGTAGACTGTCCATAACTTTGGTTTTTACTATCACCATTATTATTATCATTTCGGTTGTCTTTTTCATCTTCTTCTTGCTCTGTTTGCCACGTATGTCTTGTATTTCCACGCGATCCGTTTACAGCTTCCCAAGATTCCGCACTATTACTGCGTGCCCTAAGATGAACTGCTTCTATTTCCATCGTCGGTATTTCTGTAAATTATAATCAAATTGTTGCAATGAAATTTGTTTTTGCATCGATTTTTTCGCAGCATTAATTGCATGTACGTGTTGTTAAATCTTTCAGCGAGAGATTAAGTTACATTAAATGTTTCTTTCTTTCGAACAATGCATACAAACAACTGTTCAGTTTTTTTTTCATGCTAAAATATTCTAAGCATTGATCATGTCATCCTAAAGTAAAATTGTTTAATTGACACTGCTAGACGATAAACATTTCTTCTTTTTTCTTCACAATTTACACGTTGAATATAAATTACAACAAAAAAAGCGACGTATACATATTATAATAATAATAATTATTATTATTATTATTTGTTACACAAATAAAAGCTGATCGATATTTGTATTTAATTTCCTTAAAGCTTATTTTATCTTTAATCATGCATCCACACATACTAACAATGGCACACTTCGTTTATTGTGACGAGTATAATTTTACTGAAATAAATTTTGCAACGATAACAAAATAAAACATAAAGCAAAGAACAGATACCTTTGTTATTTTTTTTTTTACTTCTTTTCTCTCTAATTTAATCGACCATTTAATTTTTCTTTAAGGATACAAATGAATGATCAATTGTCGCGTTTACTTAGTTATACACTTAACATTGAAACAATATGGACGACGTTCAAACCAAATGCACGGTGATCACTATAATAAATCATAAAATGACGACAACAAAAAAAAAGAACACATGAACCGCTTTTCTTATTCTACCTTGAACTTCTTTATAGTTGGCAGGGGGTTCACAATGGATGTACTTGCTGCCTATAGGAAATATTCTGTTTCCGGATAATCCCCTCCCTAAGCCACAATATTTAAATATACTATACTTATATAGTAATGAATAATAATAACCAGCGTCAAATAAAATTCACGTATGAATAGATAAATAAATGAATAAATGAATTGATAATTCAATGCTGTCATTGATTAAGGAATTCATTTTAAATGAAACAAAAAAAAAAGAAAAAATAATAATCAAACAATACTCACCGGAATCTAACGATTTGCTTTCCCTGTTAGCAGGTATTCTTCTTGGTTCTTGCGATTCTGCTTTGGATTCGAATTCTCTCTTCATGACGGCAACATTTGGTACACTTCTCTTGTTCGACAACCTAGACAGTTCGCTTTTGTATAAATTAGTTCGATCGCTAGTTGGTTCCTCGTCATCGCTAAGAAGTCTACCGGATTCAAATTGTTTCGCGCGTCTGGAAACAATTTGTAATCCTTGAGGTGGTACCACGAATTTGTCATTATTTTTTTTATCCGGACCTGGAGAAGATGGTACGGAAAGTGATTCATTCCTAGAATCTTGAGGATATTGTTGATGTTGTTGCTGTTGATTTGTTGCAATAGAATTCGACGCGTTCTCATGGATTTTCGACAACGTACTGACAAACACAGATTTATTGTTAGCCTTATACCTATCCTGATCGTTAGTTTTAATCGGCGGATAAACAAAATGATTTTCTTTTCCCAATTGACTCTCATAAAGACTCGAATAAAATCTATCTCTGATGCTAATCTGACTGTCAATTAGATTCGAACGATCATCGTTCTGTTCACTTCGCGAATTATTATAATCCGATTCCGAATCAAGATCAATTTTCACCCTTTGAACATTTTGATTAGACGGTTTGGTTAATGACAATTTGCCATTGCTTTTGTTATCCATTCTTCTCGTAGGCGATTGTTGCCTTTGTTGTTGTTCATTGGGTGGCCAAATTTGCCTTTGAAGTTTCTGCGGTCTTGCGTAAAATTCTCTTTGAATAACAGCCGAGTTTGTACCACCACCACCACCACCACCACCACCGCCGTCGCCACTACCACCACCACTACTCTGTTGCAATCTAGATGCATCCTCGGCGACACTCCATCCAATTGGATGACTCGGTCTGCGTAAAAATTCTTCCTTTTGTTCGAAACTCTTACGTAATCTGTTCATGATGACAGAGTCGTCGGAACACTCGTTTCCAGTAACAGTCGAATTGGAGTCGAACGAGGATAAACTACCCTTACTTATTGGGGATGAGTCTCTTCGAGAATCCATACTCAATCTCGAACTTGGATCGTTAGATCTAAGTGCGTCTATACTTCCATAACTGGGAACTTCGGATTCGTTAGTTTGACCAGTAGCCCCACTACCTTCACTCGCTCGTCTTGCTATCACACGTCTGCCAGGACGGTAAATAGGAACTTGTGGTTCCGCACGGGATATTGGATAACGCAACATCGTTAATTGTTGTTGTTCTTTTTCATACTGTCCACCAGATTCACCCGATCTAACTCTCTCGTAAATAGGATCTTTGATTCTATCGTAAATTTGCTCGCTACTCGGTCTGAAATATCAAAAAACATAACAATTTAACATTATGAACAAATTTAAACAGAGTTTTACATACATAGTTAACAAAAGAATTCCAAAGCACTAACCTAGAATAAATCGATTCGGGACGCGTTCTATCGTACAAATCGAACCTCTGATCCGGTGATGGCCGGGTATACGATTGGGGAGGCGATTCCATGGCTTCGCGAACTTGTTGTTGGTGCTGTAATTTTCTCGATTGCATTCTATCTTCGACGGGTTCGCAAGGGATATTAGTTTCCTGTAAAAATCTTCTTTGTTGTCCTGCGATAACTGGTATAGACGGTGACATTTTGTTGCCTTGGGATTCCTTGTAAAGAACCTCTTCGCTATCTCTACAAGTTGTAGCAGTTGTACTCAAATTTTCGGAATCCGGAAGCGAGCACATCCATGATTGCCTGGTTGTTCTTGGCGACGGTCCTGGGATCATACTGATAGACCTTCGTTGCTTTTGAGAAACCCTTTCTGGAGAACGTAATCGTGGACGTTGATTCGTCTCAGGATTATGCGCCGTTTCACCAAAATACTATCATCAAACGTTTATACATTACCAATTATTTTATACATAATTGCAAAGAAATATTGTCATTGTACTTTTGTTTTTTGGTAAATTGAAATATAATTCGCATACCCGTTGCAAAATATCGTCTTCCTTCGAAACAACAAGTAAACGCAACCAAGGACCCGCTTGTTGAATACGTTGCACTACACTGGCGTATTGTTCACCTCGTGTTGCTATTCCATCAACAGAAACAACCCGGTCACCCGTACGAAGGCCTGCTTCTGATGCTGGCGAATTAACTCGCACCTGTTTTACGAAGATCGTGTCCATAGGTTCATCGATCTTTGTCCGCTCGTGTCCTGGCAACATCTGAACAATTTCATTTAACCAATTTCATTTAAGTGTACACGTCTATTTTTTCCCTACAAATTTTTCATTTATTTCTACTTACGCAACAGGACTCGGGCGGATAAACGATAAAATGTCGAAGGGTGAATCCGAACCCATTTTCGCTACGTTTAAGCAGGAGAGTTCTTGGACCACGAAGTGGTAAACTCTCCTTCCGAGTAGTTATCGATGTTGGTGCTGGTGGGGGTGGTGATGTATGTCGCACCTAAAATCATTCATCATATTTTTTTTTCCTCCCTTTTTTTTTTTTTTTTTTTTTTATTAATACAAATAAAATTTCAACAGATATTTATCGATGCTCTCTATTTTACATATTGTTGTTTTACTTCTTGGTATATTTATTTTGATGCATATGCGTCTACGTAAGTAGAATTTTCGATTGAATAGTAGATTCGTAACTACGTCAATCGGTAGGTTTCAAAGACGAAATTAAATACACCAGATGTGTTCTTTATCATTGATATCCCATGTAACTGCGTATTATCGCATGTAAACTATATATATACAGTCTGGCATAATGTATGTCTGTGTGAAGTACGAGGTCGTTAGGTAATCGCAGTAGTAAGTGCATGTTACTCGCACAGGAATGACCTTAATTGTCTGCTTCATTGCCTAGGTTAACTCTCGTTATGTGATTTATCAATATATTATTATGAATAGCCGTTCTCTAAAGATGAGAAAGAAACCCTACATACATTCATTCTTTCTTTCATTCTTTCTCTCTACTTGGGAAAAAAAAAGAAAATGTATTTATGGTACAAACGATAAGGTGGAAAAATAAGGGGGATGAAATAACACGATAAGCATCGTAATATGAATTTTTGTTTTCCCTTCTCTAAGAAATCATTTTAAATTAGGATTATTAATTCGAATAGAGAATATTATTTTGGTTTTTAGCAAGAAGGTATAATAACTTCCTGTGTGCCAAAAATATATGGAGGTTTACGTTGAAAGATGTTAAATGATATTCCAAGTTATATGTTTTTTTTTAATAATTGCAATGGACTGTTGCAAGAATTTATGTTGCATTTTTTCAAAAGATATTTTATTTGACAAAAGGGTTAAAATTACATTTTTAAAAAAACCTTTCTATTCTAATATCATTTAACTCTTTAATGCTATTTAAATTGAACTTTGTTGAATAGATTATGAACGGAGATTTAACATGGGATTATTCTAATACGGGATATACTAAAGTTTCATGTACCATAAACGTTAATTACAGGATTTTTGAGCCGCAAAGATTGGGGGACAAGAGATAGGATTAAGAAAACTTGCCAAGAATTTCGAGTCACATAAAATATCGAGATAAAAGAGGGAGAAGGGAATAGAGGTTGTTCTCTCTTTCTTTTTCTATCTTTTTCTCTTTCTCTCTCTCTCTCTCTTTCTGCTGACGGAGTTCGAATAAAAGGTGGCAACTTTCCAGGAAACAAAATAGCACCACCCGATTCGAAATAGTTGAACCAATGAGAATTTCCATGGAACTACCTTATATTTCTACCATTAGTAATAAACTAAAAAGAAAATTTTTCATTTTTAGAAAAAGGGGGAAAATCCCCGAGTCTGATTGCAAAGAAAGAAAAAAAGAAAATAAAAGAAGAAGCCCATTAATCAATTTTCACCGAATTTTGCAACGCCAAGAAAGATTTCATTCTAAGAATCTCTTTCATTTTATAACTCGAACAAATACTTCGAGAAGAAACGTTACTTTCACTTAAAATAAAAAAAATCTTATAAAACTGAGAGATATTAAATTTTTTGATCCTGACAATAATTATAACTGTCTCTACTACTTTCATAATTTTTGTCCTAAGTACTTACTTACTTACTTACTTACTTACTTGTCTCAACGATGAACTATTACGTCATCGTCGTAGATCGCTAGTTCTACTAAACGCCCACCTTCATTTTGGCAAAGCAGCAGACAGAAGATCATAAATTACTTTTAAAAATCGTCTAAGAAAAATTTGCATTCATCAAAATCTAGAACTAACTTAACGTACCACTCTAATCAATTATTCGAGCTGAGTATTATTTAAGTATAAAATTTAGATCGGCTTGTTGTAATACCGACAGAGAAAGAGAGAGAGAGAGTTTATTAAAACGGTATAAATAAGGTGCCGTTTTATTTGAATAAACTGTGAACATCTAACGGCACTTAACGATGAATCAACCTATAATACAACAGATCATCCAAGAATTATATTTGTCCCAGTCAAATATTTTTTTATTTCTTTTTGTTCATTTTATTGTCGTACTCTGATAACCCAATTGCCAGTTTAGAAAAGAAAATAAATCGAACAGTAACAGCATTAGCATCAGCAACAGCAGATCCTGAGGCTACTCAAGTTGAACCACAAACGTCTGCCGTGGTTCACCAACGTGTACCCGTGGTTTTCCGTGTTATCTAATACGTATCACTTTGACAACACAGCTAGCCCCTCTAATGCATTGAAGTACACCAACAGAGGCGTATCATTGGATATTAAAGAGAACGATGGCTTTCGCCTGATTTCGTTAGACCGCATACCAAAAATAATCCCCAACTAACTTTACATACGAACTTTACCTACGTATTTTACTTTACACTTACGTACGTACGTATGCAGACGCGTTTGTAACTCACAATGGCCGGTGTGAGCAGCATACGCTAACTCATTTAGAACAAAACCTGAGTAGCATAAATAACGAACGGTATTTGTTAATTAAAAGAAAGAAAGAAATAAAAAAAAACAAAAGGGAGAAACAAATAGACGTGCGCCTATGAAACGAAGGGTTAGTGTTTCCGTTAGAATTTTTCATCTACGTCACTAAAAAATCGATATATTAGTAACACGTACGTCATACCCATATATCTCCAACGTGTTACCTTTTCATCGTCATCTCTATAGAATAATTCTCAGGAATAAGTAACCGGAGAGATAGAAAAAGAGAACAACCATGAAAAGGAGACACCCGGCGATCAACGGTGTGTCCCGTTTGCACAATTTGCAATCCCCCCATTGGATATATATAAGCGTTAGCATACGGTCACCGTGACACCATTAGCATTGTACCGGTGGTACCGTGCTGGTGCTGGGTGCTGGTGGTACTGCTGTTGGTTCGTCTGTTTCATTGTGACTTTGCTGCTGTTACTGTTGCTGTTGCTGCTGTTGCTGTTTCTACTCTACGTTGCAGCCGAGCGAAGCCGTCACGCGTCAGATACCACATGCGGGAAACAAAATAGGCACCGGTTTTACTGGAATACGGTAAACACACTCTCGGTATGGTACCTACCTACATAATGCGAAACTTTTGACTTCCTGATTAGAAAAAAGAAGAAAAAGAAGAAGAAACAACACAAGGGAAATAATGAAAGAAAGAATGATGGTTTAAGTAGGTAACCACTTCCCTAAAAGCGTGACGATAGTTCTAGCAGGAAGCTGTTTCTTAGAAACTAAAATAAAAGTAACAGTTTGCTAACAGTGCTGCCTATTATATTTCCACCATCGAAGTAGTAGTAATCGTGTACCAGACTTTCCCAAGAACTACATTTTTCTTCTTTAACATCAAAATATAGCACGTTTAATAGAGATAAATGTATTTTATTCAACGTTTCGCCGTTGCCGTTGCCGCTGCCATTGCCGCCGGCACTTGGTTTGCTTTTATGATCATCCTTGTCCTTCGTATTTTCAGATCGTCTAAGCTTTCTGTTAACTATCAACGCCTATCGTGTAAACTAAACTCTTAGTAAGTAAGTACATACTTTGTTCATTCTCAACGCGCGCGTTGCGAATTTCTAAATAATATTATTCATTCCTGTAATACTACACGGAACGAGTGGAATAAAATGATTTAATGCTATAGAAAGAATTTGATCGATATAATTATAAACAAAAATCAATAAAAAAATAAATTCAACAAATAAACGCAGGGGGAAAAATCTGAACTTCGAACTTGCTTTCTCATTTTCTTCTTACGAGACTTTATTTTTTTTTCTTTTTTTTCTTTTTTTAATCGGGTTATATTTAAGAAGATTTTGCTATTAAAAAGATATTTTTGCGTCTCCTTAACGACGTTCTCTGTATACAATCGAAACGCGTTCTTGGATACTTTCAAAGCAAATCGAATATGTTTATATGGAAAACAGATCCTATGAGCGGGAGTGTCAATAAACACATTTGTGTCTGACAAACGGCAAGGAGGTCGGAATTGGAGGGATATAGTTAACGCGTTGAGGAAAGTGGGTCGTGTCGAGGAAAGAGAGAAAGAGAAATGGAGAAGGGGATATAGGGGGTATAGGGGGAGGGCTTGGGGAAAGAGAAAGATAGAGAGAGAGAGAGAGAAAGAGAATCGATCGAACATATTACAGTCTCGAACAATTCACTCCAAAATCATCGACAAACAAGATGGATTTTCTAAAAGACGATTTTATTGTATATAAAATTAAAGCCATTGGAAGAAGAGCCTAAGATAAACGAAAATGATGAGCCCCATTTAAAGTGCACCGTTATAACCCTCCCAACACATTTTTAAATTTCCCCTACCATTACCACCACTCCTTTCTCTCTCTCTCTCTTTCTTTCTTTCTTTATTTCTTTCTTACTTTGCCAGAATAAAAATTGAAATGGCGTCTGACGGTCTACAAAGATAAATATTTATTGGTATTATTTCTGTATAGATATTATATTAATCCGATATAGAAGATTATTCTAAGATATAAAATAATATTAAGATTGTGTGTTATCGTCAAAATATCGTGTTCGGAATGAATAAAAAAATAATCGTCGAAATGCTGATTAAATCCCGTTACGATTCGAACGGGTGTCCCCTTCCTCTACTCTCTTTTCTTGCTCACGAATTATGAGGAATAATAATACTTTCGAAAGTTTAGCGAATATTTTGCGAGGAAGGAGATTTGAATAGAAGTAAGTAAGGAAGGGTGCAGATTTTTGTGCATTATAAAATGTAATAATATAAAACGATTTAAAATGTGCTAAAAACTGTGTTCAAAATTAAGAAAAAAGAAAACAAACGAAAACCCCTAATTAAAAACTCACAACGATCGAACGATTCTTCTTATGTTAGTGAATTGGGAACAGGAACGATTTCAGAAAGTTTCGAAATACTTAGCGAAAAGATTGGGAGAGGTTGGGGATGGGGGGGTTTAGGTTGAGGCGAAGAAAAAAAAAATAAAAAGGTAAGGAAAAAGGACACCCTTTCAGA